CAAATAGTAAATTATTTTACAAACTTGTTTGGCTTTACTTAATTATAATTCAGTCCTTAATTGTTTCATCAATTTTTAAGTACCTAAAAAAACATTCTTCACATGAGACATTTACAGTGTTATTATATCTATTATTGATAAGTTTATAATTAGGCCATCTTTTACAACTCATATATTAATATTTGACTTTTATTTTATTTAAATTTTATACTGATTTATTTTGTATATTATGTAGTTTAGTATAAAAAGGCCACAATTGAGTTTAAGACGTGTTTTAGGCTTAAATTGATTGCAAAATAGAGCTTCGCAGCAGTTAGCAGGCATAAACCATATCATCAAGCACAGAGATGCTTCAAACACATGTACGACTGTGCATATTGACCAGCAAGCTCATGTATCAAGTTTAAGCATGACCATACTCATCTGTAGGAAACCTAATTATAAAGAGCTTTTAGAGTTTTTAAACCCTATAAAAGTGAGACCTCAGGCATTCAATTGGACATTTTGTCTCTCTTGCATGGGATCTTTGATATACTCTTGTTGGGACTTGAAGTTTCAAGCGATCGTACTTGAAGACCGAAAATTTATCTCATTATAGTTTGCTTTTCTCTATGACTTTGTTCATGATTATTTTAATTCTTTCCTTTAGCATGAGTAACTAAGTCCATAGCTATGCCTATGAGAACTATTACTCATGAATTTACGGGATTTTAAAATTTGAATATGTATTTGGTTTCTGCTCATGATTAGCTTTTATCTTATTGTACATAATTATAATCCTAATTAATTATATTGTCAGGTGACTGTACCTTGATTAGTTAATGAATCTATAGGATAAAACAAGACAAAGGATTGAGTGGACCAAACCAATCTTTTCTTTCAATCGTTATTAAATTAATAAGTTTATAGGTACTTTATACTTTCTTAAATTAATATCTTGCATAACCATTAGAATGTTAGTTTAGAGAAAAGAATATTAATATTACATGACTATTGAATATTATTTGTAAATGTATGAATGATTGAAAATTTCAAGGAAATCAAACTTTGAATTAAACAAAAAAATAATATAAAGGATTGAATGAGAAAACCCATATGCTCTAAGTTCTTCTATGATAAGTTCAACCAAGACGTGTATTATAATTCTTGCGCTTAATTCTATAATTAATTTTATAAATTCTTGTTTTAATTAATATCATATCTTTGAAACTCAAATAATTGAATTAGAAAATTCTTAGTAATTAAAAAACAATCCTTTTGGGACGATAATTCGGGAACTTAATTTAAGAACCATTTATTACTTCTCGACGAGTACACTTGTCCACCAAACAAACACTGATCTCAGAGGAACGTTAGTCCGCACCATGAGGGGTGTGCCTGGAAGTGAAGTTACAATGATGAAAGCGGGAGTTCCTTTCTTTTATGTTCTTGTATCTTTGTTCTAGTCTATAGAATGCGTTACTCAAAAAATATACTAGTTTTTTTACCATTGGGAGTTCCCTTCACTAGTGTTGCTCCTAACACCTCATCCAAGATGGACATATATAGATATAACATCTCTCCAAGTCTAATTTGGATAGGATTGGATGAGTAATATTATGAACAAACATATTTCGTTCTATGAATAAGCACATGAAAGCTTATTTGTAAGTCGCATTAGGGTGGTGCAACTTATGTTCTATGCATAAGTTGCATAAGGTTGGTGTGACTTATGCACAACTACAGGTATGATTGTGATGAACACAAGTCGTGCTCCTCCTTTAGCACCAAGACAGAGTGAGGGGCGTTCAATGTCAACTAGACGAAGAAATGAAATGGATGTTGTAGAACTTAATTAACCAAAACGTTGTTAACTATGTAGGCAAGTGAGCCACACTAGACGATTATATCCAGCCTTAACAATTGCATCTTCAAGTCAAAATGGTTGATGTGTTTTATCGTTCATTTTATGTTTGTTTTGTGTTGAGGGTATTTTTGATAAATTGATCCTATTAACTCCTAAATATTGATTACCTCTTAGTTTCATTAAATGATTAATGTTACTATCACCTTTTTAAATGACAAACTAAGATTTACCATCGAGTGCTGACTTTAAAATTCACAATATCAAATGAACAATTATAACTAATAAATAACATCAACATTATAAAATCAAATTGAGTTTTAAAAGAGGTATACCCGTGATCGTCCAAAATTTAGCATAGGGTGTGCTTCTAACTGAGCAAGCCTTAGATATAGAATAAAATTATGTGAGCATGTATTGTGGTAGCTTAAATAGTGTTTGTCCAAGAGCATGACCAGCTTGCCAATCAGAGAGGAAGGACTACGCCTCTGTATAGGGCATGCCCTTCAACATAGGCATGCTAGATTAAATGGACTCTAGCTGGGCTATGTTGATCTTTAGCACGACTGTGTCTATTAGAAAGAAAGGATTGAGCTGTGCTAACTTATAGCATGACCATGACAAAAAAATATATATATTAAAAATAGAATGTAATAATGATAAAAAATAAATATAAAAAAATTTGGAAGGAAACCTTTTGAATTGAGCATGCTTGTGATTAATGGTAAGCATGAGGCAGGTTCAAGTGACATTTTCACTTTTCAAAAGAGTGAGGGAATGATTTTCCGTTCATTATTTCTCATTTTTTCTCCCCTTCCTTAGTTTCTACACTATTTTTTTTTTTATCATCATTCCTTAAGGTTATTATTATTATTTATCCTTTCTCACTTTCATGAATGAGGTGCACATTTTGACCATCATTTACATTGAGTTTTGCTTTGGCTTTTTGGTTTATATTTTTGAATCCTAGGAAAATTTTAGTTGCTAGAAAAACTCAATCTAGGTGGTTTATACTAAAGAAGAGAGTCTTATGAATGAACATGCCCTTACTCAATGCACGCACATCTATGCTAGTTAATAAGTTGTATAAGTGTGATGCGACTTATCTACGAATTTCAACTCTAAATATCCTAAAGCAATTTATGTATTAAAAAATGATATATTTTGAGATAGAGAGAAAACATATATAAAGTTTGATATTTATTTTATTTTAAATTTAAATTTTTATATATTTTTCATAATCATGTATAATAAATTTCACAAAATTTAAACATATATCATCTAAAATTTGATATTTACTTACGTATTAAAAATATTATATCATTAAAATAAAATAATGCAATAAAGTATTTATAAATTTTATTTTTATATAAAAATTTATTAAGTTGAATCTATTTGATATGAACTTTTAAATGAATTAATTAATTTGACATATCATAAAAAATTATTAAATAATATAAATGTTTAAAAGTTAATGAATACTAAATTATATATATATATATATATATATTAAAGTTGTATCATTTAAAATTTTAATTTAATTTTAATTTATACATAATAATAAAATATTTATAATAAATAAAATAGTGATACATTTGTTTTATTTTTATTTTTATTTTTGTTAAGAAAAGGGTTTAAGAGCTCAACCAGAACAACTGAATAAGGAGAGAGCCTAAGCAGCTAAGAGTCACATTGGTCCAGAACTAAAAAAGGGAGCAAGTCAGGAGGAGCTTGATCTAATTTAATAAAAGAAGAAAACGACTCTAGACCAATTTTGGCTAGCCTATCCGCACATCGATTAGCTTCCCTGAAAATATGGCTTAACCTAACAGATTTCACAAGCTTAATACTATCCCTAATTTTATAAATAATATGATATAAAAGATGAGAGTGGTGTTGAATAGCCTCACGAGAGTATGATTCAATCCACCAAACAGACTGGCTAGAAATCTGAAGGAGTTGAATGCCATAAAAAATGTTCCATAACTCAGCTTCTAGGGAAGAGTAATAGAATCCAGTCACAAAATTACCCTTCCAATCACGGAGAACTCCACCGCAGGCAGCAGTTTCCAAGTTGCCATACATAGCTGCATCAGAATTAATAAGTTTCAGCTGACTCTTAGGAGGAGAGACCCATCTGATCCTAGGGCAATCCTTAGCAAATCTAGAGATAGAAAACTGATCATTCCTGCAATACAAATCAGAAAACTTAGCTTCACAAATAATTTTTTGGATTAAAACAGAGAGTTGGATAGAGTTATTATTAAAAACAAAATCATTTTTATTTTTCCAAGGATGCTAAGTAATAAAACCAAAAAGTCCCTACCAATTATTAAAATGACTAAGGTAGGGATTAGACAAATTTTGAAAAATCCAATCAGACAAATCTATAGAAAAGAATCAATTGTTTTAATTTTTAAAATTTTTATTTTAATTTTAATTTTTACATAATAATAAAATATTTATAATAAATAAAATAGTGATACATTTATTTTAATTACTTTTAGGAAAACATTAAAAATGTACTAATTTTAATAGTGATTTTTTTTAATTATCTTTAACGTTTTTGTTTTTAAAAAACTAACATTATTGATAAAAGAAATTTGCTCTTTAAAATTTGAACATCAAATGTATGTCAGCGTACTCAAAGATTTCTTTTGCTTCAATTCTGAATTTTTTTATTTTTTTTAAAACACGTTAAAAGTCTCATTTTGGTTTTTTACCTTTTAGTTTAAACAATAGTTACTTAAATAAAAAAATTTATTTAAAATTACAGGTCGTCAATTTTTAATAATAAATTAACTTAAACAATTACTATTACAGCATAAACAATTACTTATATAAAAAACTAAGTTAAACAACTATATATATCATTGTGAATTGATTTTACCTTAAAGTAATATAAAAATTGACACATTTAATGAATTTTTAAAAATTATATAATTAAAAATAAAAGTTTCTTAAATAAGAAAATTAAAAAAATATATATTATGAACCCATATAAAAATTAATACTATAATTTAAACAATAAGAATATTGTTAATGAATACTTACATGTAAGTTTTGTCACAGCTGAGTTGAGCCTTGCTGTCTCACACACTCAAAATTTCCATTGCTTCTCTTTCTTCTTCTCGACGTACACATTAACGTGTGCCATGTGACTCACTCTCAAATCTCACTCTTCTTTTTCTCTCTACGATTCAATGTTAAATTCCCGTGCAAATTGTTACCCAATCATGACGTCCCTCTCCCGGCGGTTTCCCGCCGGCGCCACCGCCACCGCCTTGGCCTATGGTGGTCTCCGTCTCAGTCGTCCGGCGAGAACCACCGCGATTTGCATGGTGCGATACGGTTTTCGGTCAGAGCGACGGGGAATCGCGCTGCGACTGCCGCCGCCGGGGCAGGAACATGGCGGCGTGTGGGAGAGATCCGGCGTGAAGGAAGAGGCCAAGAAGGCGGGGCCGTGCTCGTGTGCGGTCGGGGAATTGGCAGGGGAGAATGGGCGTAAAAGCGTGAATCGGGCGGCGGAGGTGGCGGTGGCTGCCGGGCTGACGGTGGTGATGGGCGTCGGGAACAGAGTACTGTATAAGCTTGCATTGGTTCCTCTGAAGAACTACCCTTTCTTCCTTGCTCAACTAGCTACTTTCGGGTAATTCGTTTTGTTTAATCTTTCAGTTTTGCTTTGTTCTCGTTGTAAAGATGAATCCTGAGCTTGAATTTCGTTTCATGTATGTGTTTTTTTGGCACAATTTTGCTTACCTGTTTGAATATTTATGAGAAGATGTTAGATATTTATTTGATAATTGCAGATGTTAAATATTTTTATTTATATTAATTGAAGGCTTGATTAAATTTTGGATTTAAAAAAGTTGCATTTAGGTTTGATAGCTCATTTTAATTTTTTTTAAATAAGTCTTCAGTCAAATATTGTATTGATATCAAACGGATTCTTTCTTCTTCTTTTTTCATTTTTTATTTATTACTTTTCAATATCACATTTGATTCTTTTAGATAAGATTAAATAAAAAAGATATTCGTGATATTTAAAGAGACTAAAAAGAAAACTCAGAATATTTCATCGAATCAAATGAGCAACAAAAATTACAGAACAATTATTTGATAAAGAATTTTTCTTTTATAAAATGCTTGTTTGAAATAAATTAAATATGAGAAATTAAATGAAATGATCTAAATTTAGAGATAAAAGACTTTAGTAAGCCTTAATTATTTGGGGAATTATTATTATTAGAAAAGTATTAACCTGAGTTGTTAAGAGTTAAGACTATGGCTAACAAATATTAAAAAAGAAAATATTTATTATATAATTTTGTCAACTTTAATCTTTAGACTGAGTTTAAGCTCTTATAAATAGTATATTTTTGTCAAAAACCATGACATTTATTATACATTCATGTTTTGAAGATAATAAATAGTTTCGTTTCTAATCAACATTTGCCATTAACATTTTTGCATAATTATTTTTTTATTGGTAAAAAAAAGGGGCTTCAGCCTAAAGAATTACAAACCAAATCCTTTAGGAATAATATTCGAAGACAAGTATTAAAGAAAGGCGAAGACAAAAAAGCTAGAACAATACTAAAAAGATAATAACATATTTGAGGGTCTGATGACTTATGCGATAATGTTGGAGGGGGATCCCAGGATATTTTCCAATGTTAGCATTGCGTTGAAAGCCAAACTCGTGGCTTAACTGATCTCTTACTCTCCAATGAACATTTCTAGAAAAATAAATTGGAGTCTTCTCGTTGGTAACCTTTTGCCTTGAGCTTTGGCAGAATATATCCAAGCATCCTTTGATCACTGCAGCTTGATCTATACGAGCTTCTGCAAATAGAATCAAATCATCTGCAAAAGCTAAATGTGAAACTTTTGGACCATCTTGACTCAAGCTAATAAGTCTCCAGGCTCTTCTCTTAACTGCTACATTGATAAGATGTGTTAACTGCTCCATACATAATACAAATATATATGATGAAATTGGGTTTTCTTGCTGATTACCTCTGCTGGAAGAGAACGAGTCCAATGCTTCACCATTCTAAAGGATCTTCATAGTTGGGGAGGAAATTCACCACCCAATAAACTTAATTAATTTTTGAGGAAATCCAATGCTGTAAGAGTATCCTGCACAAATGGCCACTTAATCCTGTCATAGGCCTTTTCCAAGTCAATTTTAATAGCCGTTAATCCCTTTCTACTTTTTTTAGAGTGCATTGTACGGATTACTTCTTGAGTGATTATGATGTTATCATTACTATGATGGTTTGGCACAAAGCTACAATGCACTGGGCTGACAAGATTCTCTATAAGAGTTCAAAGGCGACTTGCTATTATCTTTGTGATTGTCTTATATGAGACATTGCACAGAGATAGGCCTTAGCTGCATGGCATTTTAAACAATCCAAGGCTCAGAGGAGTTAATGTGAATATCACAAAGTCCATCCCAAAGATCTTGTCGACGAACATAATGTCACTGACAACTATCATACGCTACTGTTCATGCCCATTTTCTTTCATTGTCAAACGCATATTTCATAGGCATAAATTGAAATGAGGTTTGTGTATCCTCAACATTCCACAAACCATCATCCCATGCACACCAAATACCCCACCATGTCATTCTGCATCAACAATCACTTTACTTTGCAAGCCAAATCTACCAATCACATGGTTGGCTTGTTGCCACTTGCAGGAGTTTCCATCAAGATAATGAAAATAGTACTATACATTCAACGAACAGCCTATATAACACCTGCAAACACCTCACCAAGGGTACTGCAACAATTCCAACAGAAAATATTCATTAAGACTTCTGGGATAATTAGTGGGCTACAAAGACCCCATTATCTATCTTCATTAAGGGCGCATCCATCTCAGTACCATGGCGTGCGCTTTATTTTCTCCTTTGATGAAATGAGTAGTTTTAGCCGATGGTGCTGATGGAATCTCATTTGGAGCCCTGTCATTTGTCATAGCCCCTTACACATTGGGTGATGAAATCTTGGTGTAATGTTCTATGCAGAAATTCCATACTACTTCTTTCTCATACTTTTTGTAAGTACGCTGCATGGTTTGCATGATTAGGCTTTCATCAATATCGTGGCTCCTCTCTGTAGTAATAACTTTCTTGCACTTCATTTTTATGGTATTGTCCTGCTTTTAATTTCCCTTCATGCTTATTCTTAGGTTCTTTGCGCATTGACACCTTATGACCAACATTTTGGCTGCCACTATGCTTGTAATAATTATCATGTGTGCTTCGTTGAGGATATTTTTCACCACGTGTGTTCTTAATTCTTATTTCATGTCATTTGCTCACCACCATAGCTCCAGTTGGGGCCTGTACTTCTTAATTACCTCTTGCACCTCAGTCACAGCTTCCTCCTGTTTGTCTGCTTGAATATCAAAACAAGAGATTAGCTTCCTTTTTCAGTTTGGCTTGTTACCTTCCTATTGCATAAGGCTCCATTTGTATCCTTAACCACATCCTTCCTTCTTTGCCCTTTTTTGGCCAACATCTAGGGTCCAAAAGTAGATTCCCCTCCTGTCTTTTGGCTAGTTACATCCCATGTATTTTGCTCACTATCAAGGATTAGGGTTGCTGGTTGGTCATGACTGACATTAGCCTTAAGCCTTCCAGCATTGTTTGCCTCCATAGCTACCCTTGGTATTGATTGTCATGTCCATCGATTATGTCCATCATGTCCATCGATTTTCATGGCAATTTTCAATCGCATGGCCATATTCTCCAATTTCTACAATTGAAATAGATGAGATGTAGACCTTCATACTGGAGATTTAGAGTTCTACCTCTGACTTGCACTGAAGGCACTAACTGCTCATAAAAGGTCAACCTCCACACAAATATGTTCAAGCGGCCTCATGATTGTACTAATGTCAGTTTATCTACCTTTAACATAGTTCCAACTTTTGATCCAATATGCCATAGAAACTTCTTATTATAAAGTTCAAAGTTTAAATTTGGAATGCAAATCCAACATGTCAAACGCTTTACTATATGTTCTTAATCCAAGAAGAATGGTTGCCATCATTGCACTGTTAAATAATAATCTGCCCATCCATGGGCCTTTATATAGACCATGACAATAGTCCCCTGCCATTGAGAAACGATCCAAGATGTAATCTTGGGGCGTATCAATAATTTTAATTGCACATTTTATTGCCCACTTTTTGTGAAGTCTGCTCTTCAAGAACTGCAGACTAACTTTTTTCCCTAGTAGCTTCACAATCAGCACATTCCTCCAAGGTCGACTTCACTCTTCTAGTTCTTCATCAGTGACATGAATCTCAGGGCAAGGATTGAAGGGTTTGCTACTACTTATTTATTCCACAGGTTCATCTCAGTATCATCAGTTTTCTAATAGATCATCCCAATTGTCAAAACTGTTAATCTAATTTGTTTCCTCACCAACCATGTGCTACAAGAAATCCTTATAATAGATCATATCTAGTAGTTCTTATGGAATAGAAAGCTCCCCAATCTCCTCACTCATTTTTCTGCAGTATTGTTTCCAATTCCATATGGATTGAACTTTTTTAATACTCTGATAGATTAAGTCCTCCTTCTCCTTTGTGGTAGTTCTTGCAAGCACCTGCACCTCTGTAGAAACCCTAGAAGCCATTTTCCTTTATTATATTAGAGATATAGAAGTGTAATCAATGCTTTGTTTTCTAATAAAAACTTACTATTACAAGATATCACAAGATTCAATGCATTTATAATATTAAATACTACAATTTTCAAAACTTACTATTTATTGATTTCTTTTGTTTTTGGGTACTTGTTAGAAAAACTGTTTTTTGTGTGGGTATTGGTTTATGTATTGTTTCACAATTAACACTTTGGTGGGTTCCACCTGAACCTCTCTGTGTGGGTTCAAGTGTTATCTGATGATGTTTATAGCTCTCTGCTTCTTGCTTTTCTACTTTTGGGTGAATCTCTTAATCTTGAGTGGTAATTTTTATTCTCCAGTGCTGAATGTTTGCTAGAAAAGGGAGTTTGATGGTGGAATTTGCTTTTATATTGGGTGTAATTCAGTAATTTCTGTTGTTTGATAAAAATGTAACAAGCAACAACTTTAGGGAAAATGTTCTTTCTTTGGAATATGGAGAAAGTGTGTTAGTGAAGAAGTAACCAGCACGAGTGTTTGTGAAAACCTGACCTTTTTGAGAATTTATAATTGATGGACAGGGTTCTACAGTAGAAAAGTAGCCACAATTTTCTTTTTCTTTTTAAAAAACTGAATGCCTTTGATCAGTTTGATGCCTGTTATAAGATAATATTTATATTCCTTCCACTTATTTATTTAATTTATTTGGCAATAACCTGAAACCAAGCAATCCTTTAAGTTTGAAAAGAAGTTACTCAAATGTTTTAACCCTGATGAGTAGTATAAAATGCGGTCTGTGATCTGCAAGAGTTTCCTCATCTTCCTTTTGGAGGTTGTTATGTTTACAGAGTTAATATAACTAACTCTAGTGATATTTTCTTTCTTTCAGATATGTAGTTGTATACTTTTCTATTTTGTATATCCGGTACCATGCGGGCATTGTCACTGATGAGATGTTATCCATGCCAAAAACTCCATTTTTAGTTGTTGGTCTCTTGGAGGCACTGGGTGCTGCCACAGGAATGGCAGCAGGAGGTAATGCTTGTCCTAAAATATTTGTATGTTTCATGTCAAATACTTCTGTCTTCTCCACATAATTAAAGTACTTCTGTGCTACATTTTCTGATTGGTCTATACTTCTCGTGATAGGTCAATTTTTCAAAAAAAAATTTAAGTATTCTCCTTGTAAATTGATCACTTTATAAAAAATGCTTTGACTTGTTTAATAAATGACCAATTACAAGGTGGGTCGAAAAAGTATGCTTTGTAAACTATAGAATAGAAGCATGAAAAAAAAAAAAAATGCAGGGATATTGAAATGTTGACAATAACCATTTATTTTAGATTGAACCAACTCATATCGCAACTCCAGTTAGTAGAATATATTAAATATTATGATTTTTAACAACAATTTTTTTTTCTCAGAACTGACAGTGTATAGTGTAAAATACATCTCTATTATCAGTAGTCTTGCTTATAAAACAAATGTTTTATGGGGTTTTAGTTATACCAATTTCAGTTTTTCTGGATGAATTAAACATAATTGTTAATATTAGATGGAATAGATTTTGAAGATTCTTATTTTCATTTTTATAAACATTTATATTTTTTCCTTTAACTCTAATTTGTGATGGATCTTTGACTGCCAGTGCTACCTCTTCCATATGTCAAATATTGCCGGAGATAGGAATATTATAATATCCGAGTTGTACAATTTTGGTTAGTTTATAAAAATGTTCATGTTTGAATTTCATTTAATTGTTTGTCTCCCCTCTTTGTTGTATCAGCAATGCTATCTGGAGCATCAATTCCAATTTTGTCTCAGGTAAAAGTCAATAGCAGTCAATTGCTCTCATCCATTTATTGTTAAGTTCTGTTACAGCTGCATTTTCATTGTAGCGCTATAATGAAATAAATTTCAGTTATTCACAGAGATTAGATATGAATGGAAAGGAATTAAGAAGGTGAATGTAAGTAGTATGACTTTGTAAATTTTACTAGTTCATATATTTTTAGAGGTTGACCATTCAGTACTTAGCACCCAAAGAAGCAAGACCCATGCCCTTGGATGTGTCCTGCTTGATTGCTGGTTAGGTTGTACAGGTGAAAAACACTTCCCTCAAAAACATGGTGACTGAAGACGACCATTGTGAAAGTTTGTCAAAATTTAAAATTTGGTTTATAGATCTTAAGTTCTAAGCCAACTTAGCTTAGTTACTACAGATTTATTAGCTTCTATATGTAACTTGCATAGATTTCATGTAAAGGCAAACTAAAGGTGGATAGTCAACTTAACCTCCTCTTTTGTAGGCTTTTCTTGTGTGGCAAATTCTCCTTTCAATTATTTTTCTTGGGAGGCGATATAAAGTCAACCAACTACTTGGATGCCTTCTTGTGGCTATTGGTGTAATTATTACTGTAGCAAGGTCAGTCTATGTTAATTTTTGTGGATGCTAGGTTATGTTGACACGAAAACCTCACTCATGAACCATGGGCCTATAGGCGAAAGAACATGGTCTATAATGATATTGACTATGGATCAACAAATAAATCTGGAAGTTCACGAACATTTTGAAACAAGTATTAGTTGCTTTATGGTTTTGTTTGGTCAAATTGATTTAAGTGAGTTTTCATCACTTGTATAGCTGTTTAGCATCCATGTTAATTCACCCTCTCTTTCTGCCCTGCTTTTAACATAAGTTTGAGGATGTCGATTAGTAAAGTAAAAGACTTATTTAATGCTTTCATATTTTATTGGCAGATTTCATGCTAGACAGCAAAGTCAAATTTATTGCAAGTGTTAATCTTTAAGTGACTCCACAAGTTCATAGACTTCTATATGGTCTTAAAAGTGAAGTCTGCAAAAAATTTTTATTGAGTATTATAAATTATAGTGATAGAATTTTGTTCTTTGGCATACAGTAAAACTTTTGAATAAATTTTATTCTTTAGAACATTTATATAACATCTTATAACAAAAGTATATGTTGCAATTTGTAACAAAGCTGTAATCAGTGTCATGCATACAAATGAGATAAAGTTTGTTTGTTATACTTGAGGCAGTCTGATTTTTCTCCTCTGTTTACTTAATGTAGTGGATCTGGTGCGGGGCATTCATTGAAGGAAGCTGGTATATTTTGGAGTCTTTTAATGATAGTTTCATTTTTATTCCAAGCAGCTGATACGGTTCTGAAGGTGGTTTACTATTTTAATGAATGTTGCATTTCCTTGGTCTCAAACTGTTTCTCTATAGTGACTCATGGTCTTTCTTATTTTGTAGGAAGTAATCTTTTTGAATGCAAGCCGAAAACTGAAGGTGTGTACAGTGATTAATTTTTTCAGTCCTTGTATTGACTAAATTATGACTTTGGAAATGGAAGGTCATAGCATAGGCCATTTGAGACTAATGAAAAGATTTCATTTCTGGTGCACTTGGTGACATGTCTGCTTCAAACTTCAAAATAGAAGGAATGATGTTACTAAATTGAAGTAGAGCCTTAACAAAAATGAATGCAAATTATTGGTTTCATTTTTAAAGTTTCACACAAGTCACCTTCTATACTCATGCTTGATAGTTTATATTGTCAAGTTAAATTATAAATTCTTTTATCATTCAAGGTTTTAAATTGAAAACCATGCTATTTTGTATGGCTAAACTAGTTAAATTGGCTAAGTGTTGTAGTTTATACTTTCCGATGATACTGTAATATAATCAATATTCAATATTATCTGAAACAGGGAGGTTCTTTGGATCTGTTTGTTGTCAATTCCTTCGGATCTGCATTCCAAGTAGGCTGCATTCTGTCATTAAATTTTTCATCTTTGATTTTACAGTATAATTAAAAATGAATGCTAAATGCATAAATATATATTTAGTGTAGGCACTATTTATATGCCTCCTCATCCCCTTCTTATCAAAATTATGGGGCATCCCCTTTGGTCAACTACCAACCTATCTTAAAGATGGTGCAGCCTGCTTTCTGAATGTTGGGACGCTGTCAAGAGGTAAGCAGCTGTCTTTTCTTTTCCATATTGTCATTTCTTATAGAAGACGATCACCAAAAATTGTTGTTAAGTCATCAAATGTGTTATCTATCTTAGTATCAAGTTCATCAAAGATCATTTATGACCTAGATCTATCTGCAAGTCACTAGGCAAGATTGATTTACACTTAAAATTTCATGTACATAACATACAATGGCCGGATGAGAGCATATCCTCTATCATGAGCATACCCCAAATAAGAAAAGAAAATCAAACTTTCACTAAGCTAAATGGTCATTTTTTTTCCTTCAAATATTTTAAACCAAACCTAGAGTTGTGTTAGAATACATGCATTTTATGAGAATAAATGGTAAATTTGTGGCGAGAAGCTTTAAAATTACATGGTTTCTGTATAAAACAAAGCACATGGAATGAAGTTCAGCAAGAAGCATGCTGACATTGAATTGCAGTTGAAAAATGGAGATTATGGCATAGAATATCAGAGATGGAGGACTGGTTCCAGTATTATTTGTGATCCAAATATGCTGCTCAAACTTTAAAGGAAACTTTTATGGCATTGCCATAAAATCAACAATGCTTCATGGGACTAAATGTTGGGCAGTAAAATGACAAGAGTAAAGTACTAAATGTTGGGCTGTAAAATGACGAGAGTAAAGTAAAAGCTAAGTGTTGCAGAGATGAAAATGTTGGGCTGGATCAACAGACATACAAGCACAAGATAGGATCAGGAATGGATTTATTGGAGGAAAAGTAGGAGTAGCACACATTGTGGATAGACAGTTGAGTTGCACGTTGAGATGGTTTGGCCATGTTAGAAGACATATAGAAGCCTTAAATAATGTTTATCAGATGCAGAATAGTCCATTAACAAGAGATAAAAGGAGACCAAGAAAAACTAATTGAAACCATTAAAAAGAACTATATTCAGATAGGCTGCTCCGCAAAGATTTGGTTTTTAATCATCTGGCCTATGTAGCAAAATCCACCTTTCCGGAAAAGACTCTTGTTAGTGTTGGAACATTTAAATAAATGCAATATATCAAATTATTTTTGATTTTGCATTTCCTTGTGTTTCATTTTTTATTTCAAAAGTTCCACTACTTTTCAACGTAATTTATAAAAATCCAGGCAGCTTTGGAATGTTATTTATATGGACTGGTTGTGAAAATACCAATTTGGATTTCAAACATAGAATAAGGAAACATATGACATAAAATGATAGGGACCTGTGCTTTAGGGGGAGCTCTGCTTTAGGTTTCATCATCACTAAAACTTGAATGCAAACAGTGGTAGCTAATTAAAATGTTAATTGTATCCATATAATTTAAGGACATTGTAAACTTTGCTTGGACATGTTGGTTTCAAATCCTAATTTTGTTTGTCTTGTGAAAAAAAAAAATGCAAAAAGTAATTTGGCATTAGATTTGGTTTGCAGGATGTGATGGAGCTCCTCTGTTGCCCTTGTTGTTTATCATTGTCAACATGGGCTTCAATATCTCATTGCTTCATCTCCTCAAAATCTCGTCAGCTGTTGTCTCTTGTCTAGCTTCCACATTTTCAGGTATTTGATTTGTTTCTCTCAAAGTATTCATTGATGTTAGAATTACAACATTCTGGATTAGTTGTTGATATGCAGGCATCAGGGAGATCTCTCTGTCTTTTTCCTTTTCTTATCTGATGGGAATCAGGGAATTCACTGTTTCATTTTTTTTTCCCGGGTTTTAAATATTAGAGTTGTAGGAGAATATAGGCAAATCACCTTCTTTTGTGGAGGAGGAATGAGGAGCTTCTAATGAACAGCTGCAACCGATTACAATTAGGAAATCATGGGAAAGTTTGCAATTATGGAAATATTTACCAAAGTCGGAAGGAATGGTTGATAATACAATACTTTAGATGTAGTTTTGAAACTCTTATAGTAGTTACTTTTTCTTCATCCCTGATAGAAAGAATAGATCTATAGTGTGTTTGGTAATGCTTTTCAGCTAGTTGACAACTTTATTTTATTGGTTGAAAAACTCATTTAACAAAAAAATGTCCTATTTAGTAAACTAGCTAAAATGGATAGTAACTAACTATAAGTATTCTTCTCATTTTTTATCGTTGATATTCTTTTGCAATCCTCTTTTACCCTTTTAATTCTAAAACCTAATATCTCTATATATTATGTTCAATGTCTAAAGTACTGTCACTTTCAAAAATATCTTTTAACATTATAAAAAAATAGTTAACTTTTTCATAGATATTTTATTTAACAAAATCATTAAATCTCATTTCTTTATAAGATATTGTCACTAATTTTTTTAAAATAATTTCTTTTAAACTTCTTTTGGATCTTGTTACTTTTTCATCAGACTAAATCATGTCATCGACTCTCCTCATTAGTGCCTCCAATGATCTTCTTTGCACATGTCCCAACCACTTCTATTGATTTCATGTCATTTTTTTTTTTTCACAATAGGTGGTATATTTCAATACTCTTGCATATATAATCATTTCTTATCCTGTGTATTCTCGTATGATCACTCATCATTCTGTAGAGTTGATCCCAAGTGCCTAAACTTGGAGTTCTGTGGTATTATTTCATCTTGTTTCTTGCAAAAATTGCAATTCACATATTTTGTTTTATTTTGTTCAAGTGAAAATTCTTAAATTCCAAATTATTCCTTTATAGTTCAAGTTTAGAGTTAATATTTTCTTTTGATTTCTCAACTTGGGTTAGGTCATTTGCAAAGAGCATGCACTTAAGAATAATTTTTATATGCTCCAAGCAAGCATGTCCAATGTTTAATATTAATGCAATCATTTGTCTTTTAGCCTGTTCATTAATTACACTTTTCAGTGCTGTCATTACCGGAGGTCATAATAAGTTTTTGTCGATGATTCTTTGAACTGATAGACTTATCAAAGTCTTTAACTATAGTGGCCTGAATATTTTAATTTTATCAGTACAGTGGCCTGAAATTGAATGAGTTTATATATTGTTAGACTGTTGAGTATTTGTCTTTGGGGTACAATTTTTCATTTTAATTAAAGAAATGTTAACAACACACTCTTAATTGTTAAAATTTACTAAAAACTACAAAAATAATATGGGTTAAACTCATTTTCATTTCTAAATTAATGTCTTTCATATTTTTGTAGTTTTTAATAAATTTTAGTCAATAGTTAGGAGTGTATTATATTTTTTCAATTAAAATGGAAAGATGCTGAAAGTTAAACAAAAGGGTGCGCGAGTATGATATGCTATTTTCCTTGCCTTTTGTTCATAAATATTTTGAAGAAAAAAAGTTTCAGGAAATCTTGGCACCTTGCAACAGTATGAAATTTTCCTCCATTTTTTCAAAGATTTTATAATGTATTATAAGTTCTTGCTAATTGGAAATTCTGAGCTAAACCCACCTGATGCAATTTGGCTTGTGGCAGTCCCAATAGCTATCTATGTGTTCACACTGCCATTGCCATACCTTGGTGTTGGCTCTTCACTTCCAGCAGGCTTCATTGCAGGGGCCATCGTTCTCGTCATGGGATTACTCATTTATGCATGGACCCCTTCAAATGGTTCCACCAATGCAGCTTCCACATAGAGAAGCTAGCAGGGTTTGAATCTTAATAGCTACACCATTGCCCCAAGCCCAAGGGATGGGTTGCACCAAGCCCGACAGCAAATGGTACAACAAATACTCAGGTCCACTCTTCCTTGATTGATGATCACAAGATGGAGATGTGAAAATGATGTAATTTTTGCTTTAGTAAGTTGCTAGTCCCATGAAGAAAAGTATACAGAAGGTTAAATCGTGTTGGGCTTGCCCCAAATGAAAGAGAAAGAATATAGATAGGTCTAGTTCAAGTTTTGTGCAAGTTTTCATAAATAATAATAAGAGAACAGTTAGAAATACATTTTTTAAATGCAATTTTAAAACAATTTTATTATTGACTAAAATATATTAAAAATAATAAAAATTATGTGGATTTGACTCTTAATATAATGATTATCTTATTTTAATATTTTTTTAATGAATTTTAACTAATAATAAAAACTGTAATTAGAAATGTTTTTAACATTTTTCATAAAAATAAACGTAATAATAATAGCAATAACAACGACAAAAAAAAAGGAAGGAAAAAGCTATTTTATGCTTGATAACTAATTTATAAGTTAAGCATTAATCTTGGTTGGGTTGGATTCCCACGTACGAGTGGTGTAAGACTGAACATATGATTACATTTATTGGTGTTAAATGGAATGAAATAATAATAATTATTCAATGTTTTATTATTTAAATATCTGTAGAAGGTAGAAATAATAATAAAATGGTTGATTCCACCAGATCCCTCGTAGAATACCTAAATGAAAACCAGAGTTGTCATCTCAAATTTCCTAAACCACTGTAAGAATTACATGGAACACTTGTCTTACAGGATACTTTCATTCGGTGGACCAAGAATAATATACTGTTTGATAAAAATGTTAATTATGTCAAATATTTTATGTTTGACATTTTAAAATTGATGTTTAAGCTTTATTTATTTGTTTAAACGAGATAAAACAAAGTGTTGGATTGACTTATTAAAAAGTTTTTTAAAACAATTGTTTGATTTTCTGCAAGAACAGTAGAGGAGTTGGCTAAAAATCACAAAGCTCCCAAAACAAGTGTCAACTCCAAGGTTTTCAAATTTGATCATTTTCTGAAAGCGCAGTATGCTGATTGCCATCACCCCTAACTTTGCTAATTTAAAAAAAAAAATCATTTGGATTGAAATTACAATTTCTTTTACCTTAAAAAAAAAATGAGAACTTAAAGTTGTGTTACTTTTATTTGCATGTTATACTATAGTAACAACATCCCTCTAACAAAACGTTAATAACTCAACCATTAAACCTTTCTAACATACAAATTACCGTTTTATTTTTCCCTCCGACGAATTCTCTTCACCCTTGTTGTCTCCATAAACCCTATCCATATTGTACCACGTAAAAGACACGCCAAAGACTTCTTCAAAATGCACCCTCTAACCCTCCTACAATCTCTCACTATCAATACCTTCCTCTAATTTCATCAACTTTCCAAGCTGTGAATAAACTAAACTACCCATTTTGACACCCTTGAACTTTTTTCTTTTTTTTTTTTCTATTTTTTATTTTTCCAATGTACTCCTTTTAGTATTTCCTCTCTTCCAACAATCTTTCTTTCAACACCAAAACCCAATATTCACCAATCACCACCCTTCCCATTTCCACCCTATATTTCTCTATCTCTCTCTTTTTTCTTTTCTTTTTTTCTCTTTCCTTTGTAATATTTTGATAATACTTTTTTAGTTTTTCCTCCCTCCCTTCCTCCATGGGCAACTGTTGCTCTCAGGGGCCCGCCGATGCTCCGGAAGCGGCCGGGAATGCCGCTGTGGACGACAAGGAAGAGACAAACCAACAAGGTAGCAACCATGACAACAACAATGATAACGATGAGCCTTCAACAAACCCCACTACCCCACCATCAACCTCAAAGCCACCGTCCTTGAAATCACCACCCTCCACGAAACCCTCAAAACCGGCCGCCATTGGCCCTGTCCTCGGCCGGCCAATGGAGGACGTGAGAGCGACGTACACCATTGGGAAAGAGCTCGGAAGAGGCCAATTCGGTGTAACACATTTGTGCACACACAAAGCAACTGGTCAACAATTTGCATGCAAAACTATTGCAAAGAGGAAGCTTGTGAACAAGGAGGACATAGAAGATGTGAGAAGAGAGGTACAAATCATGCACCACTTAACGGGTCAACCTAACATTGTGGAACTTAAAGGTGCATATGAGGATAAACAAACGGTGTATTTGGTCATGGAATTGTGTGCGGGTGGTGAACTTTTTGATCGTATCATTGCTAAGGGACATTACACTGAGCGTGCTGCGGCTTCATTGTTGAGAACCATTGTGCAAATAGTTTACACTTTTCATGGAATGGGGGTCATTCATAGAGATCTTAAGCCCGAGAATTTCCTCTTGTTGAATAAGGATGAAAATGCACCCCTCAAGGCCACCGATTTTGGTCTATCCGTTTTTTATAAAGAAGGTTTCTTCAATTCTGTTCATCTCTATTCTTTTTCTTTCTCAAAATTTTCACCTCTTTTTTTTTTTTTTTTAATCTTATTCTCTTTATTAATTAATTCTAACATGAGAGTTCATTTCCGTTCAAGAGGTAACACTAAAAATTTGTAGTGTATAAATTTTTAAGGGACTTTTCTTAAGTTAGAAAAACTATTTTAAAATTGAGTACAATGATAATTTTGTTAGCTTGAGTTATCAAAATAATTTTATTTTATTTGTAAATTATGATAGCATATTTTAAAAGCAATTTTTATAAAAAATTTTTTTTTTTCTAGCAAAAGAAAAAAAACTTAAGCAAATGCAGTTTAACATATGACTAATTAATAATGGTTGTTTCGGTGTACTGCGTCTCTTGTTCTTAACTGAGATTGATAACTCGTGTTTTTAACGCAAGAGTTTAATAAGATACTTGTTTTCCAAGTTTCATTTAAAGAAATTTGCGTTAAAATTAACATTAGAATCTTGGTGATTAAGAAACTGATTAATATATATATATATATAGAATCTGAATTCTTTATATGGAACATGAAGCTAATTTTAATAGCATATTTATGCTTTTAACAGGAGAGACGTTCAAAGACATTGTTGGTAGTGCATATTACATTGCTCCTGAGGTCTTGAAGAGGAAATATGGGCCAGAAGTAGACATATGGAGTGTTGGTGTCATGCTATACATTCTTCTTTGTGGTGCCCCTCCATTTTGGGCAGGTCTATGTTTCATCTTTTCATTTTCAAAGCTACCACTTTATGCTAAACATTGTTTTGAAGAACAAGGAGATATCATTACATGTTTTCAATTGTGGATATGGTTAAGATTGCAATTTCATAACAAATAATTAAATTGTGATTATAATTTGGGTTGTTAAACCAAACTTGCACATGATCTTATCATCTACAATTTTAACATGAGAAAATTCATTCTTGTTGTAGAAGAGAGAAGATTCTCACATGTGACATGATAAATTATGTGCAAGTTTTTGTATTTTCTGCATTTATTGATTTATTTTTATAAGGTCCCACTTATTTCATATTCATCAAGAGTAAGATGATACATTTTCCCCTAAATAACTTTATTCTAAAATTTATGTTATATATATGCATAGTTTGAAATTGAAAATATGCACTGTTTTGGCAGAATCTGAACATGGTATCTTCAATGCCATCCTAAAAGGCCACATAGACTTTACAAGCGATCCGTGGCCTTCAATTTCACCTGCAGCAAAAGATCTTGTAAGGAACATGTTGAATTCAGACCCCAAACAAAGACTTACAGCACAGGAAGTTTTAAGTAAGTCTTTTTATCCACTGTTTTTGCTTCACATTCAATTCTTTTTCTAAAATAATGCTTTAAATTCATCTACCGATTTATAATTAAATAATGAAATCAATTCTAATTAGTAATAAACAATGAACTCGTTTGTTAAAAACAGATCATCCATGGATCAAGGAGGATGGAGAAGCACCAGATAAACCACTTGACAATGCTGTATTGAATAGGCTCAAACAATTCAGAGCAATGAACCAATTCAAGAAAGTTGCTCTAAGGGTATACTATCTTTGTGGATTAATTCTTATGAAGATTTTTCTTTAATACCTTTTACAAAACTTTCACTTCAGTCCCAAACTTTGTTAAACATAGTAAAATATCACTTTTCTCGAACACTAAGGACTAATTGAATTATATTTTGTAACGTAAAATGTCAAGGACTAGAAGTTTTGTGAAGTAAAGAAGTAGAATCTCAACACATAATGTTAGGAACTAAAAACCAAGTTTATTCAACTCATTTTATCAATTGAAGATCTTATTTATGAAATAATATCATGATTTAACAACATTTTAAGAAAGTGTATGAGCAAAGAAACATAACTTACAAAATGAATATAGGTTATTGCTGGATGTCTATCGGAAGAAGAAATCATGGGGTTGAAGGAAATGTTTAGGGGGATGGACACTGACAACAGTGGAACCATTACAATTGAAGAGCTCAAGCAAGGTCTTGCAAAGCAAGGAACAAAGCTAACAGAACAAGAAGTTAAGCAATTAATGGAAGCTGTAAGTTATCTTTCTCGCCAATTTTTTATGCAACCAAAAATTCAAAACACCAACACATTGAATTTCTCATTTTTCTACAAATTACAGGCTGATGCTGATGGCAATGGAACCATAGATTATGACGAATTCATCACAGCAACAATGCACATGAACCGAATGAACAGAGAAGAACATCTTTACACTGCCTTCCAATACTTTGATAAAGATAACAGCGGGTAAAAAAAATTAACTAGATGGAATATATATGCAGGGAACCCCTTTGTAAATTTACTTGCTGAGTTATAAAAATCAAGGTTCTAATTTCAATTTCTATGCCACATAAATCAGGTTCATTACCACTGAAGAACTAGAACAAGCTCTCCGTGAATATAACATGCATGATGGCAGGGACATCAAGGAAATCCTTCAAGAAGTTGATGGAGATAATGTAAGTGCTTCACTCAATTAATTTCATTTTATAGTACTTAAAGAAATTACTTCCATGTGGGAACGGATCCTGGGTTTTAAATTGTGATTATGGTTGGAATTGTGATTGTGTCACAATCCTTGATATTGCAAAACGTTGTACATTTGTTGCTGTTGTGGCCGCAATTGCAATCACAATTCAATTCTAAATAGGTAGTATTTATTTAATGTTTATTAGATAAAATAGATAGATACAATATAAAATAAGTAGATTTATTTATCTCTGTATATTTAATAAACATGGTTAGTAACTATTAATGTCACATTGTACAGGATGGGCGCATTAACTATGATGAGTTTGCGGCAATGATGAGAAAAGGAAACCCTGAAGCTATGACTAAGAAGAGGCGTGATTCATTGCCATTGGTTTAGTGAGGGAATTGTGAAGGAACATATTTAAAAGGGTACATCTGCTTCAGCCCAATGGTTTTCTTCGGTGGAAAAGCTAATGGCTGAATGAATGATCATGGATTGCGTTGCATCATATATGTAGCTTTGTTGGTTGAAAAGGGATATAGGTGAGGAATGGGACAAAGGGTGGAAACTAAAATGTTTAAAGAAAAAAAATTGGGCGGGAGGGGGGGGAAGGAAACAACTAAACTGACCTTTGAGAAATGTGAAGGTAATATGCTAGGTGTTTGGTTGGTCAACATTTTTTTTTCCTTATACCTTTTCCTTTCCTGTGAAAAATTGTAACAAGTCATGTACTCATATATTTCTGGTCACATAATTAGGAATTTAAAAAAGGGTATTCGTTTATTTACTATTTCCTTTTCAATAATACTAGCTAGCATAAATAATTATTAGGTTTCATATATTTTACTGAGTTAATGACGATCATGATTACAGGAAACTATATGTGCATTTCTTGGAGTTTCGTTAGTTTTCAATGTTATATATGATTCTTAATTAGTTCTGAATTCATCATGTACCAGAACTTAATGGCTTGCTAGTCTTCACATGGGTCAATTTGTTAGGCTACATGATAAAGATTTTGAGGAGTTTATTGAGAGTTTATAAAATTAATTTGGATCTCATAAGTTTTCTTCTAAATTCTTACAGAAAAAAAAATTAATTTAATTTATTCTAATAAATTTTATGATTAAATTTTGTCATATATATGATAAAATTTATTAAATAAAAACTTAATTAAACTTTTTATTAAATATATATCTAAGAAATGAACACAAATTACCACACTATTATTAACAGAACCTCATAATTTTTTGTTCTGTTTTTTATTTAAATTGGCTAGAATCAAAATTCATCTTGAAAAGGATGATCAGTTTTGAAGGAAATAAAATGTAGAATCCCTCATATTTTTTCTGCTCATAAATGGACAAAAGCAGAAGAGAAACAAAAGAAAAGTATTACATATAGACTGAATCTGTATTTGACTAAAATAGAAGATGTAACTCCTAATTATAATGTGTGTAAATGATGTTACACATACGTACTTATTCAAGCTTATTACATATATGGACTAAATTCAAGCTTTGTTTACATATATCTAAGTTAATATTGCTCTTATTCAAGCTTTGTTTACATATATTTGCATGGTATCAAACATAAGCATCTGGCACCAACCGAGGGCTAACCATAGCTGACACAGGCACAGCCTTTTGCAAAGTGAATCCAAAACCCTCATCCATGTTGAGCTCTACCCCATTTGGCAAATTCCAATTAAAGGAGTGCACCAAAGTGCCCAAAATGTATTCAATCAGAACAATAGCCATTTTATACCCTACACAAATTCTCCTTCCAGCCCCAAAAGGAATCAACTCAAAATCAACTCCACTAGGATCGATTTTTGCATTCTTCCCACTTAAAAATCTCTCTGGATTGAACTCTAATGGGTTGGCCCACACATTGGGGTCTCTCCCTATGGCCCATATGTTAACATTTAACCTGGTGTTCTTAGGGATGTAGTAGCCATTAACTTGGCATGCTTCTGTTGCCACCCTAGGAACACCAAGAGGTGTTGATGGGTGCATCCTATATGTCTCCTTGCAAATTGCTTGAAGGTACGGTAATTTAGGCAGGTCAGATTCAACAAGTAGTCTTTGCCTTCCTATCACTTCATCCATCTCTTTCTGTGCCCTCATCATGATGCTTGGATTTTTCAACATTTCAGCTAGTGCCCATTCTATGATGCTAGTTGATGTGTCTGTTCCTGCAGTGAAGAAATCCTATATAGCAAAGAAGATATCTTTATGGTTAGAACAACAAAATGATACTATGAGTATGCAAAGTTTAATGAAATTCAAAGTCTTTATATACATTTTTGTTTAGTTATAGTGCTTGTGCATATTGGTTTAAGACACGTAGCTATGACTATGCTAAACTTGATGAAAATTGATCTCTTTTGAGACAATTTTGTTTTACATGCATCTACGTGGGAAGAATAGTAACAAGTAGACAAACAAAGTTGAACTTTGAATAGTGAATGTTGACAATATTAGATGTTGAATTTGAATTTCGATTTAAGAAATTTCTCATTTGAACTGTATAATAATCGTTACACTACTTTCCAGGCAATAAAAACTTATTTTCTATTGGTCATTTATTTTATCAACTTTTAAAGTACATATTATATTTACAGAAAAGATAAATAATAAAGAAATGAGTAACGAAATAACACAAATCTACGTGCAGAAGTTTTATTGGATATAAATTTCCTACTTCAACCCCATCATGTGTCGTCACTTACTCATCACGTAAAAGATTTGTGCCTATTTAAGAAATATAAAAAATTAAAATTATTTCTTTTTTTATTATATATATATATATATATATAAAAAGAATATTTTTATACTAATATAAGTTTAAAAATTTTTATATTTAATTTAATTTTTTTATTTAACTTATATCTAATGGGTTATAATTTATTACTTTATTAATTGTTATATGTACTAAATTAAATATAAATTTTTTTAAATTTATACTAAAATAAAATTTTGTTCTTTTTTTTTATATATATACTGTTAGAGTAGTTCAAGATAATACTAAAAATTCTTGTTTCTCTTAATCTCTCTCAAACCATCTTCTTTTCACAGATTATACGTCATAGAGTATACTTTTCTTGATGTTCAACAGTTTTTATCGGTAATGTTGCAATCAATGACGTCACACATATCTAAAATGGTTAAGTTTAGTATAAGTAATTAATTCAATTTGCGATTGATCATAAATATATTGGAAGTTTCATAAGTTTTTAATAGAAATGCAACCAGGATGATGCAACTCTTGTATTAATTTATTTTTATAGTGAATCATGATTATCTAAATGTGTTCATATGACAACTGTACTTACTTTGGAAAGGTCATATAAGTAGCACAAAATTAAATAGACAATTAAAAAAAGTAAGACTATAGAGGAGAGTTAAATAAAGTTGGGGTGAAATAGACAGGTACCAATAGTAGAGCCTTAACGTTTGACAAACTCAGTCTCTCTTCTTCTGAGTAAGATTCTCCATTTGCCATCACAATGTCAAGAAAATCTGGGTTCTCCTTACGCTCATGAGAAGACTTTACATGATCCTCAACAATCTTGGTTAAGAAAACATCAAACTTCTTATGCAACCTTCTCATCTTACCCACCACACCTTGCAAGTCCATCCAAGCAATGCATGGTACAAAATCACCAATGTTACCCACAGTTATGGTCATGAATTCCACCACCATCTCCTTAAACTCCTTAGACTTTGATCCTTTATTTGAAAATATTCGGTGGCTAATTATCACTTGGCTCACCATATTTGTAATTGCACAACTCAACAAGTCACTCACTTCAACTGGTTCCCCTTGTTTGGCACACTCATGCATGGCTCTTATCATGTGTTTTACCTCACTTGATCTCACATAGGCCCAATCTTGAAGGGCCTTTCCACCAACCACGTGCTTGGTTATTAGTTTCCTCATGAGCTTCCATTTGGGCCCATACTCAGCAAAAACTAGGTCTTGTGAATTGTAGCCCATCTCGACTGAACCTGTAATTATGGGCCTGTTTGAGAAACTATGGTCTAGGGTTTTGAAGAATGCTTTGGCTGCATCTGGGCTTGACACTACCACAGTATCACAAGTGCCCATTTTGAAGAACATGATGGGCCCAAATTTCTTAGCCATGTTTGCGAGTGTGACATGAGGCATGGCACCCAAGAGTGGTAAAACACCAAGAATTGGCCATCCTCTTGGGCCTGGTGGGAGATTTTGAGAACCACTTTTGATGATTAAGCGAATTGAAAAGTGTGAGATGAATAAGATGAGAAATGCAACACCAATTTCTTTGAGAAGGAACGCATCAATAGTCATGTTTTGTAATTGAATTGATGTTTAGGTTATAGTCATGTTCTGTAATTGAATTGATGCTAAGCTTATGCTAGAATGTTGTTTATATATATATAGAGATAGAGATGAATAAGTGGATGCTAAGTGGCATGTTAGATGTGGCAGTAGTGTTAGGTGCTTAGGTGGGTTCACGTGAACACGTCATAGTGTACATTCAATGCAAAATACGATGTTAAATATATTACTTGTCTTTCTCATGTTAACCTCATACTTCATTGAAATTGTTGATCACGAAAAAAGAACAATACGTGGTGGAAATTTGCTAAACCTTGCACGTAAGTGTAAGAGGGTCCAAAGTGAAAAAAGAAAAAAAAATTACATCCATGTATTCTTATTTATTAGGATAATTATTATTTTAACTTTTAAAATAAATTAATTTACATAACTTAATATATTCTGATATGCTTGATGTTATATATTGTCCCATGACAAAATACAATTTACTATTCTTATGTAAATAGAATTTTAAGTTTGAGAGTCTTAAATATTTGAAATTGAATTAATTAAAATATAAAGTGCGTTCTAATAAATATACAAATTAATATAGTTTAAAAACTTTTATTTTCAAAATTAGCTCATTAAATTAAATAAAGATTTTTTTTTTTGGCGGGGGGTTATTTTCATTAATTTAAAATTTAGAACCATCTTTATACGTTATAAAAAAATATTATATATCAATTGACAAAAAAGTTTGCATTAGAATTGTCTCTATTGATATAAAACTTGATTGAAAAAAATTATATAAACACAACAGATTTATACTAACAATACGACGTGACACAAAAAATTATTAGTATAAATCTAGAATATTCATATTCAAACAATTTAGTTGACAGACTATACTAGCTCAGGCAAATTCAATAACTAATTGTTAGAATACTCATTTGCAACTTTAGTCTTCATAATATACCAAATATAAAATATTCAAATAAAAATACCAAATGCAATATATAAAATATAATGAAAGTTTTTATTTATTTATTTTATATATGTTTTTTCTTTATAATTTTGAAGAGATTAAAAATAATATTATATATTTATTTTTTTTAATTGTTAAATAAAATTTTGAAGTGAAAGACTTAATTTAAACAATTAAAAATTTAAAGAACTAGCAAGGAATTAAAATGTTGAATAAGTATAATTAAGTCTTGTTTATACTAACAATACGACGTCTATTATATTTGTGTTAATAACTTGAAATCTAGAAAACTTGAACGTAAGCAGTTTTATAAATTATGAAGACTAAAGTTGCAAATGAGTATTCTAACAATTAGTTATTGAATTTGCCTGAGCTAGTATAGTCTGTCAACTAAATTGTTTGAATATGAATATTCTAGATTTATACTAATAATTTTTTGTGTCACGTCGTATTGTTAGTATAAATCTATTGAGTAAAAGTAAAAGTATAATTAAGCTTTCATAATCCAATACCTAAGCTTGTTAGTATTTAATTTTCTATTGTAATAATGTTAAACACCTTTTTGTCATCAATCCTATAATTTTTAATTATTTCTTAACCATTGCAACGGGAAGTAATAATCACCAAGCATCATTTAAAGCAAGAAAAAAAAATATTATACACATAAGCTATGGTAATTACAACCATCATGCTTTAGAAAATCAATGCATATCCCTTTCAAGAGGCCCAAAATAATATTACTAGTCTCAAACGTTTATGCAACTTCTCTCTTCCTTAAAGGGTGCACTTGCATCTTCAAAAATCATCACATAACATCTTTAATTTATTACTCTGGGATCAGCAGCCTTAAACTATTTTTCTACCATTAAGAGTCCCCAACACTTTAAAAACACAGTTGCCATGTCTCAGTTATTTTGATGACATATCTGCAAAAAAAAGTCACATTGCATGATTATATGGTAAAACAATGACAGATGCGAGATAACAAAAAATTGCTGTGTTAATAATATTACAAATATGACATGGTAACTACTGCCATATGTGACTGCTGCCTATGTTGATGAGGAATATCATAATAGGCAACCCCTCAAAGCATTAATGATAAATTATTCAATATAATTATTGATTTAAAGGATTGTAATTTTATTACAAAGAAATAAAATGTAAATGATTGCCTTCATTCCTGTGACCTCCTCTAATTATTGAAATTGGACAAGATTCATCTTTTTCCAATAGTCAAACACAGGTCTTGAAAACTCTTCTGCATCCTCATAGATCCACAATTTCCTCCTTGTACGAGTTAAGGCCACATATAGCTGTTTCAACTCAGAGCACAAGACATTATGTTTGGAATCATTAAAATTTGGCATTAATTTAACGTGAGTTCTTGAGTCCAACATATGCTTTTCCTTCATGTACTCGTATACAACCCCCCATCTCCTTTTCAAAGGTGAAGAAGCAAAAAAGTTGTACAGCAATACATCCTAAAAAAATGCCAAAAGAAGACAATGAGAACGATACCGTTTTGAGAATAAACAAAAAGATTTAAAAGAAGTTAAACCAATCAAATCCTCTTGTGACAACAACCTGAAATTCATGGCCCTTGCACTCTAAAATGGTTAAAACAAACGCTTGGTTTCCAACAATTTGCATGATTTTCTCTCTAGCAGAATTATCTCTTACCAAAATTACTTTTTCTGCCCCATATATCCCATTATTCTTACCCTTGCTTCTACTTTCTCCAAAAGTTGTTAGAATTGAAGCACCTCTATTTCTAGATTCCATCACAATTGGGACTTCCCCATATAACAAACTTGTTTCCACTTTCAACATGTCAATAGAATGAGGGAAAAAGTGAAACAAAAGCTCAATGATACTTTGGGACAATTTCAGCACCTTAGCATTAGTGCAAAAGTTGTGACTCAAAACAAAAATATCAGAAATTTGTCCTTTTCCCTTTCTTTTTTCATGGTTCCAACTCGTAGATTCCAGCACAAACTTTTTGTAAAACAGAGACCTTACATCTTGGAATCTAAAATCAATTCCCCTTCCAATAGTCTGTGCTGTATCCCCACAAAAAACAAAACCCTCTTCCACATTTCTGCAGATATGTTTAAACAAAGCAATTTGAGCCATTGTGAGATCTTGTACTTCATCCACATACACAAAGTTCATTTCATCACCTTTGTATCTTTTACTCCTCAGTCTACTGTGGAGATCAACTACAACATCAGCCAAATCAAATTCACCATTATCCATCTTCATTCTTTCATAATTTTGAAAGATATCATATATCATTTCTCTTGTCTTCATGCTCAAAGTTGAAGTGCGGCTTTCAGATGAAGTACAATAGTCGTCACAGCTTAGCCTACCATACTCAGCAGCTTTTGTACCACCTTTTATATGTGACATTATTTCTGTGAACACTTGGTAAGAATCCAACTTCTTGGTTAATTGGGAATTAAAATGTGGCCAATATAATGAATCAAACCTTTCAAAATCCACTTCTTTCTTCATTATGAATGTTTCCAATTCAACTAACCGTTTACCCTTAAGATAAAAACGTCTCTCAAAATAAGAATTTTCCAATGTCCCATCAAGCATCAGCAAAAATTTGCGAAATGTTACCACAAGTGGATATAAATTAAATGGAAGATTATTAAATGAATTTGGGATATTCTTAAATTGTTTTGATGTATTAGTATCATCAATATCTTGATCTAAATTGCTGTCCAGGATGGTGCCTCCTTTACCTAGGGACCTGTATGATGTATGATGTATCCAAAAGAAAATTTATTAAGAATGATTGGTAAGATACAAGTGATGCTGAATTCAATTCAAAGTACGTTAAGACCAATAAAATAATTTCTAGAACTCAGTATGCTAGAAATAAAACCAAATAGTTGAAATGGTCTGACTCAACACTATAACATTTCTTATTAAACAGGAAACAGAAAAACGAAGAAACATTTGAAACAGCATTCCACACTATAATGTAGCTCACTATCAAGCTTCATTTTTTTTTTTTTAGTTATTTATCTAGTCTATGGTCAGGTATTTATATTAGTATTACCATATGAATGACACATCAAATTCTTGACAGAGCACTGATATTTTTCTTTTGTGTTTTCTTTTTCAAAAAAAAAAAAACATTCTGTGAATGTAGGCTTTAATGACATAAAGTCCGTACTTAGAAGCATGTAAAATATTCATATTCAGTTTTTATCATCGCTATATATTTTCTGAAATTAAAGAAAATATAATATATAGCTGTTTCCAAAGGATACAAAGTTTTATGAGAGAAGTTGCATACCTTCTCAAGAGAGAAACATGATGTTGGACCTTTTGACATAGTCCAGGACTCAATGTCACAAATAATTGTCTTAAGACTGGTTTCTCAGCTAGAATATCCTCGGACTCTTCCACATTTGCATAATTATTGGATCCATAGACTTCTTCAACTGCCATATGGTGCAATTTCTCATTTCGAATCAGCTTAGTTATCAGAACTGTGGTTTTGCCAGTACCACTGCGACCGAGTAAAAATGTACTTCGAGGGAAAACAATTATGTTTCTTTGTTCATCATTTACCTCAAATGGCAGATCCACTTCTAAACTATCATGGCCATAAAGCATGTAATCTCTTGAGATGGAGCAATACTTCATCAACAAAATACTCTCCTCAAACTTTAAGTTTTCAGTCTCTTCTTTAGCATTTAAACCATTCTCATTTTCGTTATTATCAACACCCTTAAATTTTTGGATATTGGCAGAAAGTGGCCAGCTCAAAGGTTTTAAAAACACTCGGTACCTGTTCACAAACAAATAAGACTCATATCAGTTAAGTCTAGAATTAAATATTTTAAAACTAATGGATATAAATGGACTCACCCATCATCAGAGCCTTTCTCTTTGCATCTACTGATATATTCATCAGTGTATCCTTTGAATACATTGTCAAGGCGCTTAGCCAATTGTGGGATATCCTCTAAATGTAATATGTCCCATATCTTCAAAACCTGAACATATTTTGAAGCTTTGACTATGTCTATTGAACAAATAACAGAGAGGCCTTCAACCTTGAATTGGTTCAAAATCTGTGATGAATTTTCACAAGACAATTCCACAGTGAACTTTTTAGGTCTCCACCCACTAGAAAGTCTTTCTAGAAGTCTTATGACCATCTTCTTGCTCGACTCTGATCGTAACCTTTTGAATGATCTAAGAAACTTATCAGTAAAATGAACCTGCAAATACATAGGTGGCAATGTTAAGCATATACTTCCCCACCATTCTTTTTTATAAGATACAAATGACTAATTTATCAAGATTAATAAAAAATATTTTTATGTCATAAATTGATAGCAAATTTCAAAAATATCTATAGTAATAAATGAAGAAATTGGTGACTCTTACATTGAATGAATGCATGTATTCATTTAGAAGGCTAAAAAGTGAGTGTCTCGTTAACATAAATCTTACAATAAGGATAAAAAAAACGAGTTATCAACTAATAATTCTGAAAAAAGGGTCTTTGACTATTATAATTAGGACAAAATAATAGTGATAATTGTTTGATATCATTCTTAGACCAAAATAACGACGGTTAACTTCTAGTATACTCTTATTTTAAAGAGTTGTCAAACATTTATTACTTGTTGATTACGCGTAGTGAAGATCAAACATTGATTATGCTAACAAACTTTTTATTAGTAAATTTACCAAGAACAAAAAGTTGTCTACAGTAAAAACAATGAGGACTAATAATTTAATAAAAGAACAATTATAAATAAATCCAGGGTATATATACCTTCCACAATGCATTTTTAAAAAGGACACTATTTGTATCAAGCAAATCATCAAATTGGTCTGACTCTTTCCTAGCATCCAATATAGCTTTAGCCATTTCTTTGACTTCATTGGCATTAAAGAAACAATTACGATTCTTAGCATTAAGCACCACAGCCTTCCAAACATTTTCAGTCTGTGTTAATGTTCTTTCATTCCCCAAAATCCATAAGCAATGCCTAGAAAATATATAAAAAAAAAAAATAGCTTTTCAAATAATATGATACTCAAACAAATAAAACTTCTAAAAATAGATAACTATTAGAGTGAAACATCTACCTAGCCCTTGTAAGAGCAACATTAGTTCTCTGAAGAGAGGAAATGAAGTTTAGAGATGTTCTGTTATTGGTTCTTACAGTGGATAATATGACAACATCTTGCTCACCACCCTGAAAACCATCAATGGATTTCACATTCACAGTAAAACTATCATTGCTTTCATATATCTGTCCAAGTTTCTGTTGAATTGCAACGACTTGACCAGCATAAGGAGACACAATGCCAATGCTGAGTTTTTCATTGGAGCTCAACCATGCTACAAGATGGGATAAACAGCTGTATTTTAGATTTCAAACATCACGTGTTCATAATATATTACAATCTTTATAATTGAAAATTTGAGTCTGATAGATTTTTATTCCTTTCTGGGAAATTATTATCTTATGAGTTTAAATACTGGAACATCATGCTGTTCTATAATATATCAACATTGCACCGTAGAGGTCGTCAATGAAATAGGGTGCTTTTGGAATAGCTTATAAATACCTTATCAAAATAACTTGATTCTTATAAGCTCTTTTAAGATTATTTCAATAAATGCATAGTATATTAGAGACTGAAGAGTAAATACAGTAATTTTGAAAAGTTTCATCTGTAAAAATCTTTTAAGAAGGAACCTTTAGATAGTTTAGTTATTACTTCTTTCTCCATAAAAACTAAACATCAATTATAATTTAGTAAACCATTTAAAAATTTGTATTCGGTACTGAACTCCTTTCAAATTAAGAAATAATGGACAAGAATTTCAAATGTCCGAAAAGGATATCTTATTGTGACTTAAAGTCCTGCACCAAGGACAGAAAAGACAGTTAGAAGCGAAAAAAAAAAATCTAACTTTAAAAATCACAGCCAAAATTTGTACATATTGGCATACCTTCGTGCAAATTCTTTAGTATTGTCATCACAACTGCAACCTCAGCCATATTTTTAAAGCTTCTTCCAGCATCATCAAGCTGTTCTTTTCCTCCAATTATATTTATAAAAGAATAGGGACCAAACATTGGCCCTGGAAGATATTGCTTCCCATAGTAACTTCTTTTAACATTTTCTGCATCCTGAATTTTATTAAAATAGAAATATGAATTTGGAAATGCACTTATTTGTGGGTGCATCCTATGTTGCGTGTTGAGAAAATGCTTTGGGTAACCTAACGAACTCAATCTCTGAAATAAGCTTCTCGCAAAACCAGCTTCAAAAGAAACCTTGTACACAAAAAGAATACGCACAAATGTAAATTAGCGATAGAGGAAAATTGGGGATGAACAATAAAAAAGAAAGAACAATTACTATATGCTTTATAGTGGCTACATACATTGCTTCTAACCATGGATGGTAGTTGACATTCATCACCAACAAGAATGGCATGGCTTATTCCTGGAAGTAGCAGAGGTATTAATGATTCACACTCTTTTAACTGTGAAGCTTCATCTATCACCAAAATGTTCAGCGGCTTCATGGTTAAAGAGTGCAGCTTATAAGAACCAGATGTTGTGGAAAAAATCAATGATGAATTTTGGAAACAAAACTCTCTGATTGAATCTTTAACAGTTCTTAAAGGTTTTGTCAACATAAGTCCCTCAAGTGAATCTTTAACAGTTCTTAAAGCAGTTAGGCATTCAGTTTTCTTCTTGTAAAACTGGTATTCAGGCAAAATCTCTTGAAACAACAAGTCTTGAAATGACTCAAGTGCCTCACTTAAGCTCACTAAATTCCAATAGTTATGTTCCAGCAAGTGACACATGGCTACATGCTTACACAAGATAGTAATGCATGATTTTAGTCGCAATGCTGCATAATGAAACCTTTCTGTAAACTGTAGATATGATTTGGCCTTACTCTCCTTTCTCAACTCATCCTCAATGGATTTATGATAATCAGAATCACGATTTTCAAGAAGATCAATCATTGATTTAAAACAAGAAGTCCAACCAGTAGAGGGTGAAAAACACTTTTTAAGCTGTTGCACACGATGATCCAAATATATATCTTCAATATCCTCACCAACTTTCAGCCTCTCATTGTTTCCAAACAATAGCAATTCTCCCATTGAACAGAAAAAGTCACCAGATTCCTTACTGTGCGATTCTTTCAATATTGTTAATACACGTGAAGCCACTTCTTTGATGGCAACATTTGTGGGGGCACATATAAGGACCCTATATTTCATTTTCAATAAGGCAAAAAGTAATGTTCCCAAAGTTCTAGTCTTTCCCGTTCCTGGGGGACCCCATATGATTTTCACAGCAGAGTTGTGATTGCAATTGAGGCCAGAAAAACAAGCACTAATTGCCTTATTTTGAGATTCATTGAGTTCTGATGATAATCTTTGATATGAACAGTCATCCCTTAATGCATCAACCACTAAACCACAACAAGAACATTCCTCAACCTGTTTTCCAACATACATTAGTCAGTTATAGCACTAATTTCAAAATCAATTATTTTAAAGTAACATATAACACAGTTCCCATAAAATTATATGACATTAATTAGGATTTGAGAATCAATTGATCTGGTTTTGGTGTGGTCAGTCTGGTGTCTGAAAGGCATAAAAAAGTGGTAGTAAAAAGAATGAATAGATTGTTCCATTCTACAACAGACATTTTGCATTTAGCAAATCATGAATGTATGTAGGCACCAAGTTAACATTTAATTAAACAATGAATAAAATTTTAATATGCTGTATTAAAAACTATAACACGATAACATAAAATCAATACTTTAAAGCGTGGCATTCTTTTAATTAATCCCTATTTCAATTTTATTCGTTTTCTGTCCTTAAAAATTATAAAAACCGAGGGCTAGTCTAAGGGACTAAAACTGTATCATTCCTAAAACAAATAAACAAAGGCTCAATGGAAAAAAAATAAAAAAATCATTCTCTTAGAAGTTGAAAAACTCTGAAGCTTAAAATTCACTTACCTCATTACTGGTGCATAAAATCTGCTTGACAAGCTTCAAATTACCAGGCATGTGAAGGGCATTCCAAATTCTTCTGTTTGGGCTTACATTTGTCAAGAAAACAAGAAATAGAGATGTATGTCTTAATTCTTTCGGATCAATATTTCTTGATGCCTTAACTTTTAAATAAACAGACATGCTACCACCCTCAAACTCATCTTTTGTCCATACAACTGATACAAAACAACAAGTTCTTCCAAATCTTTCCATGTCTTTTACAGTTTCTGGTTTATAATCGGCCAAAACCAAAACATCACCAGGCAAGGTCTTGTATGGTTCTCCATGATGAGCAAACCTGTTTTTCCAGTTATCAATTTTCAAGTTATAAAGTTTATTTTCCAGTGGTCTTGCCTCCTCTAAACCAATCACTTCTGCATAAGGTGCTTGGTTTATGATCTCCATACTTGAGCATAGTTGTGCTCGAGTTTCTTCTAGTAAAGGGTACACATAAGATCCAAGATAATGATCAATGGACTGGAATGACTGTTCAATCTTTTCTACCTGAAAATCAAGGGTCAATCAAGCTCAAGCCACACATAACTTGTTAAGCAAACCATTAAACTGTAGGCCATGATCATACACTTACATGAAATATGTATATTTTTCCAACAGCTGAAAAAATCCAAAGTTTATTTTTGTTTCAAATAAGTGAAATATACATACGGCTATGCAAAAGCACTTAAGGATTACGAAGAGACAAAGTCACAGAAGCCAAAAAAACCAAGAAAAAGAAGTGTGTTAGCATTTAAACACTCAACATAAGATAAAGCTACACCAAAAAACGAAAAAGAGGTACAGTGATGCTTAAAATAAGATAAAATGCAGAACTAATGCTACTACTAACCTTGTCCTTGTATAGATCCTCATTTGTAATTTCCTGAATTGACCAAGAAAATATAAAACCCATGAAGCCATAATCATCATTCTTGTCCTTCTTCTTACTTGAAGTTTCACCTTCCATCATTCCTTGTTACTCAGTTTACTTGGCAGAACAAAATCACAAAATGCATGCATGAAATGCAGATATAACTACTGATCATAAACCTACTGAGACTAAGAAACAATTTGAAATTTTAACTGCATATTGATCTTTAAGTAACGCCTTTTTGTTTTCCCTGCAGGCTACACACACTCTTTTTGTCTTCTCAACTCAGCATGTCTCTTTATATTACCACTTGACTCTTTGTTTGCTCATATAGTCCTTATTCCATAAAAGAATTTCGTGGGAAAAAGTATAAACTGTTTAACTTCCTTAACTTCATTTAAGTGAAATGGAAAGGAATTTTCAGTTCTTAAAAATGAAGGGTATCGAGAAAATGAAAAGAAAATTTTAATTAAAGTGCCTCTATCCCTCAAACACATTTAACGATATATCCATTCATAAATTCATTTAATAAGTTAAATACACTTAAATTAAATAAAGATGGGATAGTTATTCATTTATCAAGTAATAGTGATTAGATGGTAAATTATGCATTTTCCCAGTTTTGTTGTTGTTGTGTGTTTGGTAAATAAGCATTACCCCTTTAGTATACGAACGTGTGAAGCCTTCAAACGCACAAGCTGATTATAAAAGCTACGACCTTCTTTCTGGAATTCAAATTTTAATGGAATACTACTCTCTTTTTTTTCATATACTAGATTTAATTCATACAATTGTTTTACATAATCTGACTAATCTATAAAATTTCTTATTTTTCCTTTAAACTTTAATTTATGACAAAATTGATAACCTAAAATTTTAAAAGAATATTACCTTCTGCACTTTTAAAATTTTAAAATTTTGATGTTTTTAACGGTATGATCAAATTTCTCTTACTCTTTACCCATTGTATACTTCTATTATTGAAAAAGATCATAAATCTTTAAAAATGATTCCCTAATACTTTTTTTTATAATAACCCACCATTATTGTTGTAAAATAAAAAAAGAGACTTACTTATAAAAGTGAGAATTGCTATTTCCAACAGAAATGTTATTTAAAATTTCTACATAGATAAATAAATAAAACAAATTATACTTTCTCTTCTCTAAACAAACAAATTAGCACAGAGAGATCGTATAATAGATATCCATTTCATTTCTCAGAAAATAATCACAATCACATTAGTAACAACTAATATTTCTAAACATTGAATCAATTATTAAATTGATGAAGAGACTTAGTTCACAATTTATTCATTTAATTAGAATTAAATAATCATTAAACCAATAATAATAATCAAATACATACAATATAAAATTATAATAAATTTAAATAATTAAAAAATAATAGTAAAATATTAAGTGTAAATAAATTCTATAAACATTATTGATTAAATATATAAATATTAACACAAATTAATTAAGAAGTCGACATGAAAAAATCTATATTAAAATATGCAATAAAAAAATAGTGTAGTGACATGAATTGTATTTACTAAGTATTCATAGGAAATGACATTTTACTTTTTTATTATTTTTATAATATCATTCGTCACCTTTTACTGAATAAATATTTATTTATTAAAACAAGACATATATGGACAACAACTATACTTATGCTCAATGGATAAATTGGCTGAACTTAATTCTAAGTGGCATTGGGTTCAACTTTTATTCTTCTAACATTCAATATTTTATATCATTTTAACGATAACAACTACGTCTTAAACGAGGATAATATAGATTACACGTTTACACGATGCTGTTTATCAAAAATAAAGATTTTAAAAACATTACTATAACATTTCAAAGAAAAAAAACAATAAACGATTGTCAAACTAAATAAAGACGGTTTTGTTAACGATGTAAGAATTAATATAAACAAATTTGACATATTTGAAAAAGTAGTTCAATATTTAAGTGGATTTGAATTCTCCTCAATTTCATCTCAATCATTTAAAAGATTTTTAAAAAATGAAAATAGAATAGGAACAGTTCAACCAATAACGATTATAAATGCACGTTATGTGGTTGATTTATAAAAACATATATTGAACGTGTATAATTCTTCTACACTTCTTCATAAAACTAACTGATTATTAGAATTTTGATGTAAAGGGTGTTATGGAAAGATAACAATGGTGATGTATTTATGTGCAGGATTTTGTTGTAAAATGTTACAAAAAAGGTAGAGTTTTGACGTAAAACATGATATAAAATGATAAAAATAATGTGTGGTTATTTCATTCCAGCTAAATTGGGGTATCTGCCCTAAATTTGGATAACGCTTTATTATGCAAACTATTCATAACAAACGGAAAGCTTTCAAGCGGCAAACCATAATTTTTGCCCTACTTCTACTCTTATTTGACTTTAACAAGACAGATCTAGCTTCAAATACCTCAACTCTATTGAACAATCCTTGAAGCTGGGATATCTTGAATACTGTGGGCAGAAAAGAACAATTTTTCCAGTATTTTCCTAGTTTTCCATAGTTCGAAAACCTCATGGCATGAAAATCCTCACCTTCTTCAATAAGACATAACTTGAAAAGGTGCTATTAGATAGCATCTTAATTAGTTGAAGCTCCCTATATATATTGCAAGGGTCAGGCTCACCTGTTGAATCACCCATGGAACGACAAGAGGTAAGCTTATTTACGCATTGGGGCTTGTGGGGGAGGAGACTAGAACCTCTAAATTTGAAAAACAAAATGTAGAATTAGCCTTTTTTTTTTAATGTGTCTGTCTGAGCTATTAGAAATTAATTTTGTAGTAATAATCTTTAGAAGTGGTTCATGAAACAAATAAATGAACAAGACCTGAAGAAATGTAATCAATTTATATTTGGAAATTAAATCTAGCATGGGTTAAGTTTTTCGATTAAATGTTTATTCAATAAGTTTATATCAAATGAAAAATTATATTATAAACTTGATAATGAAATTTATTCAAATAAGTGAAAAGAGCTTACATATTTTGACAAGCTATACTAAGAAACTTATTATTTTCATGTATTATTTTCATATACTCTTTCAAACGTTCTTTAGTAATACCATTAATTCACTCCAAAAAAATGTTACATAGTAAAAGCTAGATGTTGATTTAACTTCTACTAGTACAAGTTTTTATCTAATGAATATTGAAATATTAGCATAAATTTTGAGAATCTACATCAATAATTTATTAATGATATACAATATTAATATACAATTACACTAAGGGTACGTTTGATAAATAAAATAAGATAAAAAAATAAAATATTAAAGTTGAATAAAAAATAAGATAAAATAAGAGTATATAGTAACTTTTTTATCTTATTTTATAATTGTTGCATACTTAAATAATACATACATACATATGTATACATCATATATCATATTTTATTATCTATTTCTAACTCCAAACATTCTCAAAACATAATATTTTCATTAAACAATAATTATATCAATACAAATAATCTCAGTGCCTTACATTTATTTGGTTAATAATTTTTTTTAGCAATTTAATAGGTTTAAACTAGGGATTGAAATCAAATTTATTTGCAGTCTAAGTCCAATTTAATCATCTTCATTTTACCTGAAGCAAAAGAGGTGATACTTTCCCGTACAACATCATTCCATCGTGGAGTAAAGCCTCATCATAAACACTCGTGATAACCACTAAATATGAAACCATGCACTTCCATATCATTTTATCGTTCTACATCATACCACTTTTACCTTTAGCGGTGCTGCTGACATAGATATCTACACATATCCTATCTCTAATATTTATTTTTATTGTTACCAGATGTCTAACCAAAATTTTCTCTTGATGCAGCAACGTTCCTCTTCAATCACATCTTACAATCATGTTGTTCAATTAGATATTATAGAAAATATACACATTTAAACGCCCAATCGATGGAACATGGGAAATTTCCCATTTAAAGTTAGCACGAACTTTATGAGAGGGAATGAACCTCGTTTTAGTTTAGATTAACCAAATTATATAAACTCTAGCTACACAACGATTTTACCTCAATTTCCATGCACCCGTTTGCATTGTTGCCTTGAACTTGTATTGGTTAATGTGTGTTGATTATGGGGGTGTTAACCAATACAAGGCCAAGATGATTGGATCAACATTCTTGTTTCCTTTGTCTATATGGGAATTTGAAACCTTGAACTTGTATTGGTTAATGTACATTGATCAAGGGGGTATTAACCAATATAATATGATAGGGGTTCAACTTCTTTTAAAACTTTATATGCTCTTTGTATTTTGGCATTTTGAAAAATAAGCGACATAGTTACTAAGATTATCCTATATTCTTATGTATGCAGAAAAAACCTGTTAAAATGTCGGTGCCACAATTTGGAGGGTGGGAGCATAAGTCCCCAGGAGTGCCTAGTGATTACTCCATGGTCTTCAACCAAGCTCGTGCAAACAAGAAGAATCAGAAGAATGACTTATCTGAGGTCAAGCGTTTAAGCCTTGGGAATGAAAGGGGCACCACAAATCCCAAACATCGTCATGGTCATGGTCACGGTCATGGTCAAGGTCACGGTCACGGTCACGGTCACGGTCATGAACATGAAGAACCCCCTGTCATGGTAAGACCTTAATCTTAGTTACTATTATAGTTCCATAAGCATTTGTATGTTTGTTGTCTTGTTTGGATTTTGGTTTTCTAACAATTACATACTTATCTTTGAGCAAAAACTACACCTAATTGTGGTCCATACCCCCTTGATCAACGCACATGGATCACTAATAGGTGTAGTGTTGTCAAAGGAAACAATGCAAAACGACATGAACCCGTTGTTTTTATCTTCGATCATATCAATTAGTTTTCCGTTAAAGTTGGTTGTAAATATCCTTTGAATGACTTCGAGCTTTATCTGAGCTATGCGCTTTTGGCATTTCTAAAAATTTAACAGGGATTAAAATATTAACTTGCTCCTTGAAATTGGATCAACAATTTATCTGGTTATTGATACTATATAAGATATCAATTTGATTCTTGATTTGGTAGTGTCAGTTAGCTTGTTCTTGACATTAACAAAAATAAGACCTTTAATCCCAATTTGGTAGTCGTCAATTAAACAAGTCCTTTTTATTGGTGGGCACTACCCAATTTGATCTCTTACATTGCATCAATCAACTTGATGAAATTAATACAAAACTATCGAAGGTAGAGATTAAATTCATGGGTTAATTTTGTTTCTTGTAGTTACTGTTTGTTCGATTTTAGTTCTTTAATTTTTAATTATATAATTTTAGTCCTCCTATTTTTTTAATTTCACAAATTTTGTCCTTTTAAGTTATCATTCAATTCTTCCTGCTTTCTTCCTCGCCCAAGTTTTGTCATACCTTCTTCTCCAAATTCTCTGTCTCCTAATTCTTCATGGTGTATATCCATTTTTACTCCATCATGGAGTGGCTTCATTTTCTCTTTCACACTCTCTAACCCTTTGCCTTCACATTCCACTAGCAGAAGAGGATTATGGGAGGGATGGATCAATGGTATGAAGTGTCAACAATACCTAATTAGAGGACTTTATTAATACTTTTTCTTTTCCTCAAAACAAGCTAAATTTTCATTGCAAGATTATACAAACTAACGCATCCCCCTCAAAACAAAGAAAAGATTGAGATCTATGCTCAAAGTTTGCATCATTGAAAAAGATAAGAAAGGGAGGGTAGAGGCGACGCAAAATAGAACAAAGACAATTGTCAACAAAGACTAGAAGTGCACAAAAAGATAAGATCATACATCAATAGTAGAGTCCAACTAAAGAGAAAAGGATAAAGAGCTCTGTCAATTATGGCAGAGTTCAACAACGGAGAGAAAGGAAGATAGACATCAGCTAAGAGAGAGAGAAGAAAAAGAAAAAAATTGTATAGTTCCCCTGTTAAAATTTAAATGACAGTTTAATGAAAGGATGAAATTTGTTAAATTAAAAAAATAAGGGACTAAAATTGCAATTAAAAATTTAAAGATAAATTCAAACAAACATAATAGTTGAGAGATCAAAATGTAATGAGGAAAAAGAAGATTGTATATTTGTTGTTAAAAATTAGATAGCAACTTGATGGAAAGATGAAATTTGTTAAATTAAGAAAATAAAAAACTTTTTTTTGCAATTAAAAATCAAGAGACTAAAATCAAATAAACAAAATAGTTGAAAAATTAAATGTGCAGTATAATCTTTAGTTTAAATAAGCTTTTATTCTTTATAAAATCCAATGCATTAAGAATTAGCATCTAAATTTTTTAATTAGGACTTAATCCTTAATAAATTTAGGAAATTAAAAATAAGTCACTAAGATTAAGCTAGTTTGTTGAGTATTGATTTGATGAAGGAACAGCCAGCTCAACCATGATACATGTAAAACAGCTAATCCTATGCAGCACATTGTTATTAAATTGTGATTGTTCCGAGTATGTGACTGCAGTGACCCACATGCAAACATTTCACCTTTTGTCAAACCCTTGTTCTGGTTAGAGCCATCACACTCAATGCTTTAAACCCACAAAACTCACCACCTCCAAAGCTTCCTCGTAGACTCGCATTTGTGGTGCCAAGCACGACTCTCTATTCTGACCCATCATCAACCCAACCATATCATTATTAAAATCTATTAAAAATTATTCAAATACGAGAAATAAACGTTAAATTAAGAATAAGAAAGAGTAATAGTATTTTACTGGCATTTATCAAAAATATGGACTTAAAGGGTATAAATTGTGGTCTCACATAGTAACCCAAAAGAAAATGCCCATCATTTAGGCCAACAAAGATGTGAGGGAGATATGTGGTGAGGATGGTGAGTGGTGATGGGTTTATAGAAGAGTATGGAGTTTGTGTTTTGGTGCTACGTACATTTGGGGTCTTGTGGTGTTCCAATTTGGTGGTTGTGATTGCATTCTAGTTGGCAACTTGGATATGGATCTGGATTCTTAACACTAACTTCACTCTGCAATTAAGCTATTTTTACATTTTCACTCAAGTGAGAAATTTTTGCTGAATTGATAGTTGTTGGTAACTTGTTGGCGACAAAGATTCCTTTCGTGGTGGCTTGGTGGAGTCACAATGCTTGATGGTTTTGTCAATTTTTTTATATATAAAAAAACAAATTAATATAAATTTAAAATATATGTGGCATATAACATTAAATGTAACACTGCTAACGTTGCATTCTAGTTAGCTATATTTGAACTTGAGAGTCGTGTTAACATAGGAGCTAATATTTTACTCCTTTAAAATATTACTGATTAAATTTAATAATTTTTATGAAAATTAACTTTAAGCATGCTAAATTTTTTAGACATTGAAAATTTATTTTAAGTCTTTATTTTTTTATATGATTAAGGACAAAATTTATCTATGGTGTCAGTTTTAAAAATCAAATTGATTTAAAATTATTAAAGACAAGGATTCATTTTCATTTCATAATTTTAAAAATTGAATAGACTGATAAAGTTAAAGTTCATCACTGTCCATCGTTATGGTCAAAAATTAAACTTACTTTCTGTAAGACAATTTATCGATAATGCTGATTTTAAGAACTGAAGTAACATTTTATTAATTAATTTAATTTTTCTAACAAGTGATGAATAACACATAACAAAAATTTACATTTACCAATAAAAAGTAGAGTATTGTAACAAAAACAAAGATACATGTTAGAAAAAATGGTCTGTTAATTTAACATTTAAAAGGAAATGAATAAATTGATACTAGATTGAGAGAGAGAGAGAGCATAAGAGAGTGAAAACATTATTATAGAAAACACAGCAAAGATTTTCTAACTGAAATGGTGTTGATGATCTTGCAGAGGAGAAAGAAGGGTCTGAATTACATGAATTGCTGTATTATGGCTTAATATCAATGATCAAATGATTGAGATGGAGTCATGGTACTGAACAAATTAGGGGATGTGTGGCATGTAAACCATATATAAATGTGAGACAAGTTGTGTAGAAATCTTATAATCACAAGCTTCCATTAATGGAGTGTCATGTATATCTTTTACTTCATTACAATTGCTTTCGGCAGAGCCAAATAAATGTATCACATTAGTCATTTCATTACAAAGCAAGTTTTATGTATTACATCGCATGCACAAAACTCACATTTCACCACTGCCATCTCAGTCTCACCTTTCATTATATTTTTAATATATTTTTTATTAAAAATTGAAAACAATAAATAAATAATATTTTAATTTTTCACTAATTTTAATAAAATAATAAATATACTTTATATTTTATTTAATATTTTTTATTTATCTCAATATTAAACGAAATGGCATATTATTGTCTTTTTTATTATTCTAATTTTCATCAAACATAAAATATTACAAAATTCATATTTTTTTTATCGTATCATCATTATCCAATATATTCTATCTTACCATTTTTTATTGTATTGATAATCATTTTTTTTATTGTATCATGTTTACTAAATAAGCTATATGTACATAAATATTGTTTTACACTAATTTAATTTTATTATATAATTAATTAAAACGATAGATTCTTTATCTAAACTTCAAAAAGTAATATAAAAAATTAAAGGAAACGTTTTATTATCTCATTTTAACGTTCAAATAATATTTTTCTTAAAATGTGCCATCTGTATCAATATCAAACTTAAAGGGTTTAATTTATTCTGTTTCCAAAAAAAAGTTAAAGGTTTTATTTAAGCTATTTTACAGGATAAACAAACCTATCAAACCATAATAAGTAAACTATTAAAGCCAAGATATTAATTTTATAAATAAAATCTCATGAATACACTTAAGATGAAGATATTTATCAGAAAGAATTTTAAACAAACCCATCTCCTAATATAAGTTCAAATGCTAGTGGAGTGAATAAACAGATAAACACATGTTGAATGAAGCCACAATTAAGACAGAGACACAGTAAAAGAGCATTATATGAACAAATTGAAAATTGAGTGGCAAGAGATTCAAGTCCAGAGAAAGGGAATCACAATCTTTGATGTCATTAAAAATTACAGATAACTGCGATTGGTGTAGTTGCAATTGGGGTCACGATGCAATTGAAAAAATCATAAAAAATTTTACATTGCTACCACAGTTTCAAACACTGATACAGAGACATGCTTTAGTAAAGTAATCTCCGATTATCCCATTTTAAGTTAATTGTTGAGTAATTTATTATTCTCGCTTCTCTCCTAATTTTCTTAAGATCAATTCAAATTTTTACATTTATTTACCAAATCATACCATGCCAACCATCTCTCAGGACACATATTTGACCAATTCCTGGGATACACATAAACCATTGCATTTAATATTATCACATATTACAGAAATAAAACTGTAATGCTAATTGATAAACAAAACCAACAACAATACCTAAGCTTTGTTCATAACACATATCATAGATAATTTAAGGTACAAGGGTTCATGTCATTGTTACCAAGACCATCATCTATTGACCTCCTTACACAGTTGTCTTTAAATGATTACTGAACCTTACCGTATATGGAAACTGGAAACTTTGATTCCCTTGGAATAAAGTGGAAACATAAAGAGGGTATCTACAAGAAAAAAAAAGGTTATTCACAGCATAAATATAACTAAATGAAAGGAAAAAAAATGAACAATGATTAAAATTTGGTGCAAATTGCTCTGCAAAGTGTTTAAGCACCCCAAATTAACTTGACACCAATGCTTCATTTTGGTAGTGAAAAGTCCAACAGGGGCGACCTGAGAACATGTGAACATGCTATTACAGACATAAACAACACAAGAGTATATAAATATGGTTGTTTTATGAACCTTTGAGTAATATTCATATGCTCTCAGAACACCCCTGTTGCACCCCTCTACCACTATTTCTTTGGGACATTTCTTGGCCTTAATTGGAACCTTGAACCTTCAATTTTGTTTTGGCAATTTAATGGTTTCACCAATTTTCGTTCAATTTAAGATTTCAATATATAGCCAAAAACTTTGTACTTCGTAGCTTTGGATGTACTACACGGAAGTACTAGTGTAGAAGAAATATGAAACCTTCTTGTTCCAGGGCAGTACAACTTTGTACTAACCATTCTCGTTGGATTTTGATGTGTACTAGTACTAATTTCAATCAAGATCAAAGATGCCAAGTGCTTTTTCATTCTATTATCTTGGTGGTCTTCAAAAAAAGAAAAAAAAAAATCTTATTTTGGTTCTCAGAAGTATATTTTTTATTTAGATTTTTACGAAAAAATATTGGTTTAATCCTTTAAAGTTTTAATTTTCTTTAGGGGTTCATACTTACCAGCCACCACTACATTATTTTCATGATAAAAGATAATAAATTATGTTTCAGAAATGCTTAAATTACTCAATTTTTGAAATATTAAAAATTGCACTATCCTATCTTTTAATTTTGAAAATTATACTCATTAAAAGTTGAAATGTACTATAAAATATTTTAACATAAATAAACGTCTTAATAATTGTAAATAATATAAATAAATCCTTCCTAAAATAATTTTTCGTTATGCAATATTTATAGTTAATGATAGCTAATTTCGAATGCTCTGTATTTAATTTATAATTTTAAAAGATGAAAATAAAATTTTAAACATCCCTACTACTAGAATTAGAGATTCATCCATCCAAAAGCTTTATTTCATATTCTAAAATCCTCAAGTTGATGGAAAGAATCAAAACTAATTTTCAATTATGCTACAATCACAATGAGAAAAATTGGGCCTATAAACCTCATTTAAGTTAAAGTAAGTTTAAGTGTGACACCTATGAATTAGGAATTTATTTTTTTTTGGTTTGAACAATAAATCAATTTTTATAAAAAAAAATTAATTTTGATATACTATTAATATAAATTTTTTATATAATTAATTAATTAAAAATTCATGAACATAATTTTCAATTAATTTTTTTTTTTACAAGTATAAGGTTTTTAAGGCATGAATTACTCTCCCTTTGCAGATTCCTACAAGAACTTTTATACTGTTTAGCAATTCTCTTATTTCATTAACCTCTTCTGGGAGCTTTCCTTCATCATGAAAGCATTTAATAACATAGCAAACCTCATTCTTAATTGTCCTCCAATATTTTGGTAAGAGAGGCCATTCAAATCATCAGGAACCACTTAATCCATAGATTTTTTGTGGGGGCACAATGAAAGCTTAACCTTTTGTAAAAGAGATCATTCACCTAGAAAAGTTACCTTTTGCATCGTTTTTTTTAGTTGCATTGCCTTTTTTAAATAATTTTTTAGTGTGTTTAAAAATTCATTTAGAATTTTAGTTTTGGGATATACACTCTCAATTTCAATTTAAGTGACTTTTACTATTTGATCTAAACTTAATAAGTGATATATAATTTGAGTCTTGGATATAAAAGTATTTTAAATACTTAGAAAAAGAGTTTTGTTATTTACAATAATTGATGTTTAGTTTAAAAATTGTTTTTTTAGGATACATGTGATTAAAAATAAATAAATTAAATAAAGTTTTATTAGAAAAAGTTATATCAAGCTTTGAGATTTTAATTAAAAAAAAAATTATTTCAATTATTCTACCCAAATACATAATGGATATAAAGATTTTTTAATGTTGTGCAAGTCATTATTTTAAAAAACAAGCATAATGCATAGTGAGAATAATTTAGTAAAATTATTATACTAACTAAGATATTTATTATTTTTCTTAATACTAGTGAAAAAAAAATCATAAACACAAATAAATTTGAAATAGAGGGAGTAAATTTATTTTGAAAATAAATTTTTGGAAGAGTGATTAATTCACATAAATCAAATTTTTAATTAAATTATTAAAAAAATCCAGAATGTAAATAACTTCAGAATTAAATTTTAAAAATTAAAAAAATATTTCAATTGATAGAATAAATGGTATAATCAATCATTTCCTTCATTAAGTAATAATAGTGAGTTCTTCAGTAAGCCAGTTGAACTCCATATTTCATTGGGCCTACAAATACAATCATGGTCCAATACATTCAAAATCCAATAATGCTCAACAACACACCCACTTGAACATAAAGGATAAACAACCCAACTTGAAAGCATGGACTTCTTGTTGACACAAAAACCAAAAATCATGGAAATTATATATTTTCAATAATGAACTTGGACTAAAAGCACATAAATAAAGAACTTTATTGGCCCCAAATAAATACTCAAAGCTATCTTTTCAAGTTAATTAGTCGAATTTTGCTAGCAAATGAGAACACTAACTTGAAAAGTTCTAGAACTAAACTAGCTAAAACTTTTCCTCTTTATATTGATAATCTTAATATATTCATGTATTACTTAAAATTTAATTGTAGTATAAATCAATTTGCACTCTTGATAAATTTAATTTATAGAGACTTCTCTTTTTAATGTTTCAAAATAATTTACCATCGTTTGAGAATGATCTATTTTCATATTACAAACATTTTGTTGGTTAGTACTAACATTAGGTTGGAAAAGTAGAAAGTAGTGGCATAGACCATTTCCCAATCACTTCATGCTTATAATAAGAGGCTCACTTCACGTAAAAAAGTGATTTGGAATAATAAACGAAATGCAAGGTGGAGGTTGTTTTATTTTTGTACTTAGTTTATCTTATCAAGGGTGTCTTGATGTTAGGTTAGTTATGCCTAAGATAAGGTTTGATTCACTTGTTTCTTAATATTAATTTAAAACTAATTAAACAGATTTTTAAAAACAATTAAAATGCAAATTTTTTGTAACCAAAAATTAAAATTAAACCCACCTAAACAATCAAATTAATGCAAAAACAAACAAAATACCAAATTGCAAACAACAGAAATAGAAACATAGAATTGCAAAGACATAGACCAGAGTTTACAAAACAAGAAAAAATTAATTTGAGCAGAATAAATAAACATGTAAAATAAAATTAACAACTCTTAAAATGATTTAAAATTGAAATCGTATCTACGACAACAACGCCAATTTGATAGGTTGATTCACAAAAATACATATTAAGTTAAATTTAATTTTAAGTTTTTAAAAATGAGAGTAAATTTTGGAGGTTTGAAAACTTCAAATTAGTTAAATAAAATTATGAGAAAAATTAAATTGAATAAAAACAAATTAAGAAATATCAATTCATGAAATACTAAATGTATGTAACTCTGATTATCATAGTATCTAAAGATTTTAATCTGCGTTTGAACAATCACCCAATTCAATTATTAATTCAATCAAATAACCTAATTGAATATACAAATTAAATCAAATTGTCATGTAACACAATCCACATTAATTATCAAGAATATCACTCGAGTCTTAATTTAAATTTTAACCACAAAAAAATTAATCACAATCTTATTACACAAATATGAGATTAGAGAAAAAGAAAACAAAATTGGAGTAATTTGGCCAGAAACTCAAATAAGATTTACAACATATGGATTTCATAAATTGAACAGAATGTTTAGCTTTCCATCAAAGCACTTAACCAAATGGAGAATGAGAAAATTTGAGAGAAGGTAAAAATAAGAATTCTTATTACAACCACATCTCAAAAACTCAAAGTGTCTAATCACACACACTAATTTAAAACCTTATTAGTCTATTTATAGGTTCTAATTAAGGTAAATTAGATGGCCAAAATTTGGACCTCAATTATAACTACATGCCTAAATACAATTATCTAATAACAAAATATCCAAATGCAATCTCGCAACAATATTTAACAAATTTGTTTCAACTTCAAAAAATTATAAAAAATAAAAAACAACTCCAAATCTAGTAATTTATATATGCTCGAAGCCTTGGATATGTAAAATCCAATGTAATTGGAATCAATAAAAAAAAAATATCTGTAGAAAAATGTATGGCCAAAAGAGTAGTTAAAGATTAAAATAACTAAAAATACAAAATTAAAAAATTTATTTGTAACAACCACAATTTTTTTATATAACTAAAAAATGGTAAAAACTCTAAAAATAAAACATATAAAAAATATTTAAAAATTAAAATAAAATTATAAATATAAATATAAAATATATTATATCAGACTGACGTAACTTGTTTGAGAATAATTGTAATACTCCTTTAGTTTAAAATAGAAGAAATTAGGATATAATATTGTAGTCCAACAATAAAAAAAATAAAAAAATTCAAGAAAAGACGAAATAACATTTCTTTTACAATTGCATTAACATTCTAACTAACTGGTTATTCACTAAATATTTTAAATTTAATTATCATAATATCATGATCACTTAAACTTTTTTTTAATATTTTTTTGCCTTTAATATATTAATATCAATATATTAAAGATATTGAATTAACAAGACTAGACCTTAAACTTTAAAAAACAATAATAGAAGTATCATTAAATTATACATGATAATTTTAATCTTATCCAACACATTGGAATAACTTTGAAGTAAAAGAGGACAAAAGAAAAAAAACATGAGTAACAATTTAAATTACTTTCAAACTCCAATGCAAAATCTACATTTGGAGGACACCACAAAAGCATCATAAATATAATTCATTACATTTTAATCTTGAAAAAAAAAATATAATCCAATTCATGGTATTAACTTCAAACCATTAGTTTTGATAAACTTGATAACATATAAAGGGTTCAGCTCCTTCAAATGAAAGCTTCTAAGGTGAAAGAACAATGTAGTAGCCTCATTGAAATGAGTGTTGTGAAGTGACACCATCACAGTAGCAAGAAAATATCAATAAACACGTCCATCAGCTAATTTACCATCTGTGTAGATTAAAAAACAAACAATGTCATCAATAAATTAGTTCAATAAAAGACAATAAACACTAGTTTGTCACAACAAAAAATTTTAGAATTTTAACAAAATAAAAATTCATTTAATTGAATTAAATTGTAAATGAATTTGTAAATTAATCATATGATTTAGTTTGTAAATTTTGAATTTGAAAAAAAAAGGACAATAAATTAATAAATGTTGTATGTTTAATGAAAAAATATAATTTTTAATTATTTAAAATTAACCATAGGAAGTAATTTTAATACATTAATTAGACGTCTCAAAATATGATTTAACACGAAAAGACTGATCCACAAACTATTATTTACGTAATTATGTTGTTTATTTTCTTAGGACTTAGCTCAGAAAATATAAAATATAAAATTGCTTTATTTTCATTACTTTAGAAATTGTTTTTTATAAAAATATTTGAAGGCTTTACCTTTGGAGGAAGCGCTCATACTATTATGACTTGCTCGCTTATGCGTATGACAGGAATGTGAGCAATCTTTGAGAAGTGCTTCCCTTTCTCATTTCTATACCTTTCTTCTAGCAATGGACAACTCCCTATCCACAGTACTTCAAGAGACGATGGCAGTTGTTCCTCTGGCAATGACTCAAGCCATACACAGTCGTAGAGATGAAGCCTTTTTAGGGAAGGGAGATGTTGAAGCCCTGTCCCTTCCAACCGCTTTAAACGACGAAAACTGGATAGACACAGAGACGTGAGAGAAGTGGGCAGTGATGGCTCCCTCAGCAAGGTGTTTACCACTTCTTCATCCCTCAAACCCTTAAGATAAAGTTGTGACAGAGGAGGGAGGCGTTGGAATTGGAGACCTGAATGTGGTTGAAGTATTCCAACATCAACCTCAAGATACCGTAAACTGGAAGCCAAAAACCCTGGAGACAACGACCCTAGCTCTGGAAGGCTATAAAGCCTCAAGTATTGAAGGGCAGGGAGATCCATCTCTTCTGGAAGTGACCTAAGTTTCTTACAATTATGGACAGTAAAACGATTTAATAAATTAGGAGAGGCCCCTCCTCCTTTATTATCAATTGCTTCCAAGTTGGTACAGTCGTATATGTAAAGTTCTCGAAGAGCTGGGAAACAATCTAATGGAAAGGACACCAGCGAATCACAACTCTCCGAGATTCCAAGGTATTCAAGTGATGTGTATTTGTGCCATCTTTCATCACACACAAATTCTAACCTCTCACAGCCACCAATGTCAAGTGATTGCAATGACGTGGGCAAACCATCAGTTGGGAGGGAAATCGAAGACTTGATATTTCTGAGAGTCAAGTCTCGAAGGCAGTTGGCATTAAGTATCATTCTTGGCAAACACTGCAAGCTGTCACACTTTTCAATTGATACGAACCCCTCTAATTGGTTGCACCCTTCGATACGAACCTCTTTCAACCAAGGTAGGCGATTGGGCAAGTTTCCTCTCAACAAGGGACATTCGGATAAACACAAACTCTTCAGACAAGGAAAAGGAAAGTTGCTACCTTCACTTTCAAATGGTACCCACTCCTCCCACTCTAACATTTCTTTGAACATGAGACTTTCCAACGATGGAAATGGCTGAAAGGATGGGCAACTTGCAATGCTGCAATAGAACTCCTGACCAACTGTCTTCAACATTGTCATCCTTTCAAGAACAAGCTCTTTAAGAGAAGGCAATTGTCCAAATGGCGGAAGTAACACGCAATAGTTGCAGTCACTGATACGCAGGACTCTAACATTGCAATATGAAGAATCACCGATCCATTCTGGAAATCTTGTGCCGTTGTAGCATCTGATGCTCAGTTTCTTCAACATGGTTGATGGTTGCAGGTTGTCAAGTACAGCTTTTTCAGTTTGTGAATCTTGTGGGTCGCTGCCCCACTCCAGCATAAGCTCCTCAATCTGCTCTTTGTTCTTTAATTTGGCTTGAAATGCATAGCTAGGATCAAAATCGTGCAGCTTCAAAATGGAAAGCTTACTCTGCAGACACGGAAATTTTCTTAATTCGCTAATCCTTAATCCATCTTCTTTGCCTACAATGAAGGAAGTCAATGTACGGAGATTTTGTAGTCTGTATATCTGTATTGGCATCTCCATCAAATTTGTGTCACTGATATCAAGATGGCGCAGATTGACCAAATTTCCTATCTGTGCTGGTAGCTCAACAAGAGATTTACAATTTGACAATTTCAAAGTCTGCAAATTGTAAAGCTTGAAGGTCGCATCAGGCAACCTTTTGACGGAAGTGTAGGAAAGGTCAAGATACCGAAGATGCACCAACATGTTAATTGAATTAGGCAGCTCAGTGATATTATTATATTTTGACAATGACAGCACTCTTAGGCATTTTAGTTTTGGCAACAAATCTTGTGGCACTTTGCTGGTTATGTTACAGTCCCATTTATCCAATGGTAGAAATGTCCGCAAACTCTTGAGCTTATAGAAGCCATCAAATTTTTTTGAGACATCATAACGGTTTCTAGAAAAAGTTAGATGGCGCACATTTTTTGGAATTTCTCTGCAATCCAGGTAGTGAGATCTTTTCCCTGAAACAAGTCTAGCTAAATCATAAATTAGGTCATGCATTCGGAACTTGTCCTCTGCAACAGCTTCGTCTTTCTGAATCAAGGATCTGGATAATAACTCTTTAAAGCACTCAGAACCAACTAATTCGAGTTCTTTCTCTGACGATTGTTGTAGAAGGCCTTCAGCCATCCATAACAAAATCAAGTCTTCCCTGTCCAACCGATGTTGTTTTGGAAAGATTGAGCAATAGGCAAAACATCTTTTCAAATGTGCTGGAAGATGAAGATAACTTATGCGCAAAGCTGGTAAGACATCATTGTGTGCCCATAATTTGCTGTTTAGAACTCTTTTCCATTCCTTTTCATCAACATCTGATCGCAAAAGACCTCCCAATGTTTTAGCAGCTAATGGTAGGCCATCACATTTTCTTGCAATTTGCCGACCAATTTTTTCTAGACTTGGATATTTGTCATAACCTTCATTTCCAAATGCATGATTTGCGAGTATCCTCCAACAATTTTCCTCTGACAGAGATTTCAGCTCATAAGTGGGAAATGTATGGGTAAACTTTGCAACTTCTGGTTGTCGGGTTGTCACAATGATCCTACTTCCCTTTTTCCCACTAGTAAAAGGAATTATCAATTGATTCCAGTCATTATAAGCTTCATTCCAAAGGTCATCAAGCACAAGCAAAAATTTTTTATCTTTCAACCTATTTTTTAATTCAATACGAAGAACATGTGGATTGGTACTATTACAATCTTTCGACGAGACAGACTCAACAATTTGTTCTGTTACCTTGAAAACATCATAAACGTCCGATACCCACACCCACGCTTTCAAATCAAAATGTTTCTGCACTTCACTATCATTATAAAGGCATTGAGCAAGGGTTGTTTTGCCCAGACCTCCCACGCCTAGGATTGTGATCACTTCTATATTATTAGACTTGGCATCAACATCAGATAGAAGCATCTTCAGTAACTTGTCTTTGTCATCCTCTCTAGCAACCACAACAGGTTCAACCAACGAATCTGTACTTTTGCTCCAAGAGACTCTCCTATAAACACTTTGTAAACCAAGAATATCCTTCTGTTTCACAACATGTTCTAGCCTTACAGCTATTGCTTCGAGCTTGGAATTGTGTGTTTTAAAGGGAGAAGAAAATAATGATCTCACCTGGGCAAAGCTTTTAGATTCTCCCTCCACTTTGTATCTCAAAGATTCAGTGTTGATTTCATCCAATACATCTTCTGCATCCAAGACAGCATCTTTCAACTCATCAAGCCATGTCTTCACAGCAACATCAGTGATCTGCTTCTCCTCAGCATCATTGAGCACAGCATTAAGTGCCCCAAGCTTTATCTTCAACTCATCCAACAGAGAAACATTGAGCCTCCTGCTGGCAAAAAAATCTCGAAACACTTTAGAAGTTATTCTATCTAACAAGATCTCCACAGAAGCAGAGATTACTGCCTCTCCTACCAGAGCCAAGGCCATTTCTTCTCTTGTTTTGCAAACTGTCTCACAACTCTAAATCTCTTACTAACTGCTGAACGAGATACACATACGTGGTGGTGAAATTTTGAAGTATTACAGTGCTGAAGTCTAGCAAACAATGTTTTGGTTTCACACACTGTCTTAAGCGTGTGAACATCTTTGTTTTTTTTCATTTGTTTTTTCATAAACGTTGACTGACCAAAAGCTATGCTAATGGTTGTATTTGTAGTCTAAGTGCAAGTGTATTTTTTTATTTGCTTAACAACTATATTTCTAACAAAACTTTCTAAATATTTTCATTTTAAAATTTTTATGATGTAAGCTAATTCAAACAGTAGTTAAGTCTTGATTTTAATCTCACGGTTTTTAGTTAATACACGATCCATCGAGTAGGTAACATATGTTATGCTTTTTCCTAATAAAAGTTTTTTTTTTTTTGGTCGTAATTCCAAAAAAAATGCCTCCTTCCTTCTGTATTTCTTTACTCTATCATTTAAATATAACATGAAATATTTTTAGATGCCCCAGTAATGCTACTATTTTTATTTGCTTTTGGTTGTACGAACTAAGCAAAATACAGAAGTTGAAGACTCAATTTAAAAAAGGGATTTTTTTGCTATAATCAATACCAAACATTGTTATTTTGTTAAAAGTGACCACCTAACCACCCACTTTGCATTTCAACCTCTACCATATGGATTCCAGTGAGTATAGAGCATAACAGTAGTTGGAAAAATCCATCGTACTAAAATGGTAATGCTATTTACTGGGTTATATCACGAGAATTGGTGGCATTCGGCAATATCAAAATTCAACTAATATAGGCAAAAATCAGAAAAAAAAAAGAGTTCTGACAGGCTGTTTAAATTTACATAAGTAAAAGTTAATTATACAGTTTATATAGATTTTTTAACTTTAAATTGAATAAATATCACAGTCAGGACAAAGTTAAGTCACTAGAGACTTCAGTTTAGTAATCTATTCAGGTGTTCCACGATCCATATCATATTCTCAATTTTTAGAAGTCTTCTTAAATAACAAAATAACAAAACTACTGAGATAAACATTAGATAATCTCATGATCAATTGATACATAATGAGTAAACAGAGTAGATATGATGTCAATAAGAGTGATTATTGAAAAACAAACATTCATAATTGATACGTCTATATTTTAACCTGCTTTTTATAGCTATATATTTATATTTAGTCTTTATTTTATTTAAATTTTGTGCTGATTTATATATTAATTTTACAGTTTAATATAAAAAAATTACAATTGGGTTTAACTCCATTTTGGGCTCAAATTAGTTATAAAATAGAGTTTTGCAGTAGTTAACAAGCTTAGATCTTAGAAGCAAGAATGAGTTGTTTCAAGACAATATATGATTATGCTTATGACCTTGCACGGTGTGCTAGTTTGTGGCAAACGCAATTATGAATAGCTTTTATGGTTTTCAAACCCTATTAAAAAGATACATCAAATATCAAATTTGACACCTTGTCCTTGATTTGTGATACACCTCTCATCTCTCTATGATCCTTTGACACACTTTTGGCGAAATTTTTTAGTTTAAAGTGGTCTTACTTAAATATTAGAAACTCATCTCATCTCTATTTTACTATTTCTTTTAATTATAAATTTGTTTATGATTGTTTTAATTCTTTTCTTTAACATGAATAACTAAGTTCATAGTTAAAGCTACAAAAAATCTTGTTCATAAATTTATAAGATTTTGAAGTTTGAATCTAAGTTTGATTTTCATATGCTATTAATGTTTATCCTATTACGGATAATTGTATAACCTTTATTAATTATATTGTCAGGCGACCGTACTTTGATTAGTTAATGGATCTATAGAATAAAACACGACAAAGGGTTAGGTGTACCAAACCAATATTTCTCTTCGAATTGTTATTAAATTAACAAGTTCATAAATATTTTATACTTTCTTGAATTAATATCTTGTATGACCGTTGTGGATGTTAATTTAGAGAAAATAATATTAATATTCTATGACGATTGGGTATTGACATTAATTGTATGAATGATTAGTAATTACAATGAAATCAGATTTAAAGTTAAAAAAAAATAACATAAAGGATTGAATGAAAAAATTAATTTTGAAAACTTAATTTAAGAACTCTATATTACTTTTTTACATATATTTGCCCACCCAACAATAATGCAAATGTTAAAAATCACAAATATGAAAAAAAAAGTGAGTTTGCGTTGTTCGTTAATTTTTTTTTTCTCATCATTTTGCTAATGATATTTTGGATAATTTTATTTTTTAACCTTTGAAAATGCAAATGTTATCTAATTCCTGAAATGCTAGGCTTACAGTGCTAAGAAATTCTGGTTCTCTACTTTCACAAGAATGCGTTGTACCTCCCGCCCCAGTTTATCCAACTTAGATTGTGATGTATCAAACTTGCAACTTGTAATTAAAATTTTCCTCTTAGTGATCGTAAGATCTTATCTTCCATTGAAATTTGCCTTTTCTGTTTTGAGTTAAGAGAATAGATAGTTTATGTCGTGAGGCTTTTTTTTTTTCCTTGTTTAACTCTATAATATATATATGTTGAATTTTACTTTTCCTACTCTTTGTTAAAAGTCTCAGTGATAAAATAAAATTCTTTGGAGAATCATCTTCTTAGAAACATATCACAAGGTTATATTTGGAAGTTGTTAGGAAAGAAAGGAAAAAAAGAAGGATGAATTTTTTACCTTTCTTATAAGGAGACCCAGCTGAGAGAAAGGGAATTTCTTGTAATAATCAATGGCAAACACTATTATATTATTTCATCAAAAGTGACCTCCGAACCACCCACTTTGCATTTTAACCTTTTTAACGTATGCTTCTTCCCTGAGATTTCAAGCGAGTATAGAGCATAAGAATAGTAGCTGGAAAAATGCATTGTACTAAAATAGTAATTTATTGGGTTATGTCATGAGAATTGATGGCATATGGCAATATTAAAAATCAACTAATGTGGGAAAAAAGATCAGAAGAAGGTTTAGACAGTGTTTAAATTCACATAATTAAAACAAAATAATTATATAGTTGATCATGTGGAGTCAGATATTTAAGTCTAATTTGATCTCAATTAAGACAACTTAATCATGCGTAAATTCATCCATGTTGTGACGCTTCTGACAAGTAGTAGTTTTGTTAGACACGTAATGATTCACTGGCCTTAATTACACAAGACGCATTTTCATACCTTGACAAAATTTATTTAGCTTAAACATCAAAGTGTTTCTTGCAAGAATATTTTTTATAGGAGTCTTTGATGAGTTTTAGATCACCTTCAACCACTGTAGCAAATATTAGAATCAGGCCAAAATTAACTTCTCAGGGTTTAGGGTTTAAGGATTGATCGATAAACTCAAGGTCAATAGATAAACAATGAGTAAATAGAGTAGAACATGATGTTGATATCTTATAAAGAATTGTGGCTTTGGGGTTCTGTGTGTCTTCCTGTTTTTCCATTCTCAATGTAAAAGACACAAGAAATCTTTCCTTTGGGGAGAAGAGTTTCAAAGCTGGTACAACATGAAAACAAAGGAAGCTAAATCAACATGAAACAAGCGTTAAATGTAGATGGTTAATGTGTTCCGCTGTTCATGAATTCCACGTAACCTTTTTAGAGACAAAATATTATGCTAAATAGTTCATTATTTTGGATAAATGTTACAGTAAAATGCAGTTAGAAATATGAGGCTAAACTTACTCTGGCGAACATGTTTCTTTCATATTTGTATTCCTATTATTGTTGTAATAAATTAATATATGCATTCCAAAATTATATATCATAAAGCCACATAAAACTTAAAGGTCACTTAAGTGAAAAAATCGTATGCCATACTAAAAAATTAATCATTTAAACAAAAACAATTTTAAATTCGCATTTTTACGTAAACTAAAGATAATATGGATCTAAAAAATATTATTTATTAAGATGCCTTAAATTTGTGTAACACTTGTGTCTCTTGAGTTTCAATTGATATTCTTCTTAATGAGTTGTAATGGAAAGTTACAAGTTGTTATGATGAGTTATGAGTTATTATGTACATAAGCTCTCAACATTTACAAAACATTCTTTTTGGATGTATTTTGTAGTGTGTATTCTAAAATTACAACAAGTGAAATCTCTCAATTTGTCCGTGGACCTATGTTACATTCACTGAACTACTTTAAATACTTATGTGTTCTTCTCATTACTATTCTTATTTATATGAGTATTTAAAAATTTAACAAAATAATAATTGTTATTCTTCCACTAATATTTTTTGTCCATATTAAATATTATAACATTTGAGTAGTTTAAGAGTGATAGAGGATGTCGAGTCACTATCAAAACAATTAAGTTTCACTAAGAATTTTACAGTATAGAGCTCAACCTAGGTCGATTCACAGGAACACATCTTTAGTTAAATTTAATTTTTGATTTTTTCAAAAAAATGAAAGTAAGGTTTTTGGAGTTTGAAAACTGTGAATTAATTAAATTAAATTGAGAATAAATTAAAATTAAGTAAAATCAAATTAAGAAATATCGATTTATATAATACCAAATGCGTGTAACTTCGATTATTACAGTATTTAAAGATTTTAATCCAGATTTAAACATTTATCTAATTTAATTATTAATTCAATCGAATAATCTAATTGAACTAGATCACGGATTAAATCAAATTATTATTTAATCTAATCTTATACACATCACTTCATTTACTAACTCATGGTAGATAGCATCACAAATTTGCATCAATTAAAAATTTAAACATTAAATTAATAATTTTACATTTATAGAAGTTTTATTTTGATTTATATTAAATTAAAATTTTTACAAATTATCACATCAATGTTTTGAAAGAGATTGACTAAAAAATTACTAGCTGAGATGTGAAACCTTGTTAATGATACAACAATATATAACAAACTAATAAATGGGAATATAAAGAAAAAAAATTACCCTAAAATAACCAAATTTCT